CTTATCATTCCTTTCTTCTATTTTCTTGGGTGCACTCAGTTGTCCTTTTCTCAATCTTGAGTTCATTAATTTTTAAATCTTTTCTAATATATACATTTCAGGATATAAATTTCTCTTCAAATCCCACTTTAGCTGTATTCCATAAATTTGTGTTTGGAAAGCTTTTGTTATTCAGCTCTAGGTATTTGATAGTTTCCATTGTAATGTCTTCATGGACCCATGACACATGTATATATCCATGACATGTAAATCTATGACCTATTTACATGTATTTACAAGTGGGCTTAAGTTACATTCCATACATATTCTGGGGGGAGGGGGCTTTAGCAATTGTTATTCCTTCATCTAGTTTTCTTGCATTTTGGCAAAAAATGCAATGTGCATAAAGTTGATTTTTCAGCATTTTTGATAATTTATACCCTAATTTGTCATCAATTTTTTAAAAACATACTTTGCAAGGTTGAAAAATTTCTATTTTCTATTGGTAGAGCACAGTTCTATGTGTGTACAGTTGATGGAGTTTGTTCCTAATGGTGCTCAAATTTTCTATGTCCTAGTTATTTCTCTGCTTGACCTATTAGTATCTGAGTGAGGTTAGTTTAAAAAATCCCACTGTAGGCCTGGCTGGAGTGGCTCAGAGGATTGAGTGCCAACCTGCAAACGAAAGGGTCACCAGTTCAATTCCCAGTTAGGGCACATGCCTGGGTTGCGGGCCCAGTAGGGGGCGTGCTACAGGCAACCGCACATTAATGTTTCTTTGCCTTTCTTTCTCCCTCCCTTCCCCTCTAAAAATAAAATAAAAATCTTAAAAAAAAACTCCGGCTATAATTATGGATTTAACTTCTACAATTAGGTGAAGTTTTGCTTTACATACTTTTAAGCTATGTAGTTGGTATTCTGTGGGTTTAAAATTGCTTTGTTACTTTCTTGATGAATTATCTTTTTATCATTTAGTAATAACATTTTTATTCCGAATAATATATATTTTAAACTTCACAATCTACTGTTTGATAGTAGTGTAATTACAGTTTCTTTTTGGTTAGCATTTGCCTAGTATATCTTGTCCCACTAAATTACTTGCAAACTTTTAGTATCCTGTTTAAGATTCTCTTAAAGATTCTGTAAAAGATAAACCACATGTATCTTTTACATTTTTAAAATAATTCCTATTATCTGGCTAATTTTTTACATTTATTGTGATTATTAAGATAGTTGAGCCCTGGCTGGTGTAGCTCAGTGGATTGAGTGCGGGCCTGTGAACCAGACAATCGCAGTTCGATTCCCAGTCAGGGCACATGCCTGGGTTGCAGGCTGGTTCCCAGCAGGGGACGCACGAGAGGCAACCATACATTGATGTTTCTCCTCCTCTCTCCTTCCCTTCCCCTCTAAAGATAAATAAATAAAAATCTTTAAAAAAAAAAGATGTCTCATTTCTTGGGAAAAAAAAAAGATAGTTGGCCTTATTTGCATCTTGTTTTGTCCTTTACATTTACTATGGGCTTTTTTTTTTTTTACTACTTCTTCTCCCCAAGCACTTTTCCTTTGTTGTCTTGGAGTTATCAAATTTTCCTTGTTCCTCCATCGTTTTAAAAGTTATATATTCCACTTATGTTACTTTAATGTTAATGGTTACACATGAACTCCTGACTTAAAATATATAGTGCCTCTATCCTCCTTCTTAATGTGATTCTTTAGAATGCTTTAATTCCAGTCTCCTCCTATTCTCCTGCCATGTTATTACTTTTCTGTATTTAATTATATTTTTTATTGTTACTATTTTTTACATTATCCTGTTCTTCTGATTTTAAATTCTATTGCTGCTAAATAGCATTATTTAGTTACTGTCCTGATCTCTGAATTATCTGCTTTTTATACCAAATAATCTGCAGTTACAGTGAACACTGTCTTTGACCATTATTTTTCTTTGTGATCCATATTCTCTTATTACCACTTTGTATTTAACACTTTTATGAATGGGCCTTCCAACAGAGCTGATATTGAAGAAATGTACAAAGTTAGCATTTCTTCTCTGGGCTCAAAAAATCTGGGAACTTATTTTTTAAAGATACTTTCTAGAATACATATTTGTACTCTCTCATTGTACAAAATCAAACCTGCAAAAGGAGCTTTTATAAACATATCTCTTTCCTTCTTTGCTTGCAAATTCAAATAATATTTAGCAGCAAGTATATCTGGCAAATGACTAATGGGAAAAGTTCTTCACAGATACAGGAAAATGAATGGGTTGACATGCTATGCTAGCTGACATGAACAAACTATTGCCGCTAACAGAAGGACGTTTAGGAATTTGACATATTAACACTAAATGGTCTCTAACAAGTGAAATCAGCGTAAGTTGATCTTGATTTAAAAAGCAAATCAGAAACAGAGCTCAGCGCTTGTACCAACTGACATTGAAAAATGCTTCATAAACATCTGCACATATCTACTGTAGATGGGTAGATACAGCATAAACTTTAGAAACCATTTTTTATTCATTTTTTATTGTGGTAAAATATAGATAACATAAAATTACTCATTCGTTTTTACAGAGCAGTTAAGTGACATGCCTAAGATCACTTGGAAAAGATGATAAAGACCTAAATTGGTTAGGGTTCTACAACTTTGAAGACTAGTTGTTGGGGCAGGATGGGTGTGGGATGGGGATGGGTGGGAAGGAGTAGGATTCTACATGTGCAGGCTCATGGGATTTCCCAGCAGAACCACACTTGGGAGTATTCTGGTTAGCCAGCAGAGCCTAACAGTGCAGCCAGGAAGGGGAAAAGAGGGCACACATGAAGGCTTCTTACCAACTACCTCCAAAATAAATACAACTAAAGGCTCAGACCACTATTTAATCATTAAAATGTTAGAGAGGAAAGTCCAACGCTGCAGATTTGCTTTAATGAGAAGATAGTTCTTTTGCTCCTCGGGGACTGCAAGCCTGGATCAATACTTGGGTCATTAGGATAGCTGAGAGCCTGCAGAAAGTATCTTTATCAACAAGGACTTAAGTGTAACTTTCATTTGCTTGGAGCACTGCTTGATGCAAAAGGAACAAGACTAATGAGGTCTCTATGCTTAAGGATCTTATCACACCAATGGAAGACATAATTACATTCAAAGACCAAAACACAATTAGTAGCTGGATCAGGGCTTTTGTGAAAGGGGGCATCATGGGGCAGGGTGGTAAGGCAAGAACATATGGCCTGGGTATGTGTGGCTTATATCAAAGTTATGCCACCACCAACAGCACCCACAATTTACCAATTGCCTACTATGGTGCCAGGCAATATACTGGGCACGATTTTTTTCCTGCATAATACTTCAGTGGAGGCAGGTGTTGTTATTCCCATTTTACAGATGAGGGCATGGATTCTGATAGATCGAGTACATGTTGCTTGTTCAAAGCAGAGCTAGTGATTTAAACCCAGGTGTGACACAAGAACCAAGCTTTATCATTTTGCCTTAAAGCCCCATCCATCACAGTAATGAAGGCAACGTCCTTTCAAATTGGATTTTAAAACTTTGTAGATGTAATTATAATATATTCCAAAGAAGAAGGCAAAAGAATAACCTCCATTCACCTGCTTACTCCTTCAGTTCTCAACTTGAACATTATCTCTTCCAGGACTCCTCCCCTGCTCCCCAAACTGGGCTAACCTTCCAAAATAAGAGCCATAATCCTTACTGTACAATTTCAAAAGCCAATAAGCTCTGAAAATGTTAAGTGTTTTTGTGAGTTTGCAGCAAGCTCATTTGATAACAAAAGATGACCTAAACTGATGTAAACTATTTTCAGTCTTTACTTTCCTACTCAGTGTAAATATTCATTGATGTGGAAATAATCATGTGTTTGATTAAGGGGTGCTTCCCAGACTCCAGTGTAGTTATTGTAGAATATATATGTATATTATCTTTCTAAAAATTCCAATGTTTCTGACTTGCAAACCACATCTGGTCCTAGGGATTTCAGAGAATGGATTCTGGCCCTGTATTTTATGCATAAATCTCACTACACCACAATCATTTATTCTTCTGTACAAGCCCAGCACCTGACAGAGTGCCTTGCATATAATAGGTACACAACAAATGTCTCCAGAATGAGGAAACAAGGCTGAGAAGTCGGCTAAGAAGGGAAAATGGTTAATGGCTTGGAAGTGACCATGGCTTCCAACTTGCAGGCCAGGAGTCTAACCAGGGAATGCCACTGCCTTCTCTGACAGCAGGTCCTATAAATAGTTGCTGCTGATTGAGAGCAAGCCAGATAGATGCTCTCTTCACTAGGAATAAAAATAGTCCAGTTGTCTTATATGATAGGCTCACATATAACTGTAGCCCAGAGCTACAAAATAGCAGGAAAACTCATACTTCAGATCACATGGGCAGCTTCACAGGTCCCCTGGAACTTGGCCACAGAAAACCTGGATTTGGGTCTGACCCTAGTACATGCAGTAACCTTTTGGCCCGCAGTTTTCTCATCTGTAAAATAGCACCAGAGTAAGCGCTAAGGCCCTCTTCACAGGTGGGCCTCTAACAAGGTGATCCATGGGAGGGAAAGCAGCAGTTGCGCCACATTCCAGGGTGAGATGCAAACCTCAGGAGCTTCTTCACTCCTGTGTACTGTCCTCGCAGTCCCGAGTTCATCGTCCTCATTCAGTAGGCTCTGCTACACACACCTCCTTTCCCATCCAAAAGAAGCAGAGTCAATACAAAAAGACGCATTTTGTACCCAGGGCACCCAGGGGGCTCTTTCTGTGTTTGACCCCAAACAGTGAACAAAAAGTTCTGTGAAGAGTAGCTCCATAGCCCTTCGGTGCCCTAACTCATAGAAGATGCGGGGGGGGGGAGCAGGGAGTGGAGGTGGGGGTGGTAATCACAGGCCAGCAGGGCTGAATTTAAACAGAATACCTCTAAATTGCAAAGTCTCAGGATGTGAGAGGGCACTGGATAGGAGAATGAGAATCAGGATAGGGCAGCTTGGGATGGTCCCTCCTTACCTGGTAACACAAAATGGTTTGCTGAACCAGCCGCGCGTAACCGTCCAAGCGGACTCCGGAATTGCTTCTGCTCCTCATCTCCACGGTGCTTCCAAGGCCGCGGTGCTCGATTTGGTGCGTGGAGGCGGGACGCGCGGGCTACGGCTGCCAAAGGTTCCTGGTTCCCAAACACTCACAATCTCGGTCAGTTCTCCAGATGGAGCCCGGCGGTGGTAGGTAGGGGCTTCCAAAAACGATAGCATCAAACTAGGATTGGAAAACAAGCCAAGCAAGAGTTTTGTACAACTGCAAGGCTCGGGGGCGGGGACAGGGCTGGCACTCAGGCTGCGCCGCAGCAGAGGTGCCGATCTGGGTTCCTGGCGTGGGGCGACAGTACCCGCGCGGAGCTTTTTTGTCTTCCGGCGACAAACGGGAGGCTCCAGGGAGGACCACCCCCCCCCCCCATCCTACCCGAATACTGCGGCCCAGTGCAGTCCCGCCCCAGTCCTGCCCCCGCCACGGAACGGAACCCTCTGAGTTGCGGCCTGAGGGGGAAGGAAAAGGGGGTGGTCCCCTGGAGCAGCGGAGAACCCGGCTCCGGGCGGGAACCAGTTTGTTTCCCTGAGACCCTTACCTCCCCACTGGCTGCCGACTCCAGGGCAGGCTGCAGAACCAGACCTTTCCTCCACAGCCACTTCTACGCCCCCGGCCCCGCCCGTGGACCCGCCTCCAGCTCCGCCCTCGGCGCGGAGCGGAACTCGCGGAGCCCGGCCGGTGGAGCAAGGTAGGCGAACGCTCCGCTAGGGGCCCAGAACTCCCCAAACTCCTTCCGTCGCTAGCGGCCCCGCCTCTCCGAGGTGAGCTCACTGTCTAGACTGTGGTCCCGCCCTCCAGTCCTGTTCCCCTGTCTGGCCCCTCCGCCCCTCGGGCAGAACCGAACCCTCTAGAGGGTGGGGGTAAAGGTCGGGCTTCCGGTGGGGCACTAGGCAGCCCGGCGGAGGGTCCCGGGATGAGCCGCCAACCTCACGGGCAGCGGGAGAAATAGACCCGCTTACTGCGGCCTCTCTGGCACCCCTCTGTGGGCCGGAATGTAGCCCTGCCCTTGGCTGAGTCTCCGCAGCTGAGTGGAAGTCGAGTAGCGGGGTCCAGTACTGAAGAGAAAAGAGGCCAGCCGGAACAGGGTCCCCAGGGCTCCCAGTCCAACTGCTAGTCACTTGGACGCTGCTCACCTGGCCAGGCCTGCGGTTCATCTCCAGTAAGCCTACAACTTGAAACTTACTAGTTTCTTGTGGCCCAGTTACCTACACTTTACAATCTTCTGCCCAGTATTCACTTTTCCACCAAAATCTGACCCCATATGAATTCCACCGGACACCTCCGCTAATGTAATCATTGTTCCCACAAGCCCATTGTTAGTCTCCATACATTTATTGTATGCTTCTTGGCCCAAGGCCCTTCCTCCTCCTCCTTGCCTATCTGAAACCTATCTTTCCTTTAAGTTTCCCCACAGCTCCTCCCTCCTGTTAGCCTTCCCCATTCTCTTAATTTCCTTAATGTCTTTCCTAAGAGTTTAGGTCTTGGAGTGACTTTAAATTGAGTTTAAATTACAGATCTGCCATTTACAAGTGGTGTGAACTTAGGCATGCGATTTTATCTGCTTCAAATTCACTATTCTCATCTGTAAAATGGGGATAATAATAGCACCTACCTCCTAGGGTGGCTATGAAGATTAAGAGAATGAATATAAAGCACTTTGCACTATACCTGGCTCATAGAAAAGTACTTCATAAATCATAGGTGTTTTCATCATCATTTGACAGTAATGTAATTGTAATTTTTCTCATATACAGCATATTTTTGTAACTGGATTGTAAGTTATTTATGTAAGTCTTTGGTATTCCCCATCATGTCTGGTATAGCATTGAATATGCAGTTGTAGCTCAATTAATGTTGAATGAATGAATGAATGAATGAATGAAAATCAGTCTTGCTCAGCTGGGTCCCCCTATGTATGGTCCTAACAATTTCATTTTAAAAATTCCATAACATAAATCTGTGCTTCTCAACTAAAGAACCAAACCCCTCATCATTTTACATACTTTTTGTTTTCTTACTTAACAATCTGGGTAGCTTTCTTAAACTATGCAGCGATTCATGTGATGTGTCTCTATGCAGAATTTGCTATGGTTTAGGGGTAAATAAAACTAGACATTAAGCTACTGCCATTAAATCTCTTTTGGAGTCTGAATATGTACTCTTACTAGAACTCTCATGTATTTTTTTGCATCTAAAAGCTGGGATCATTGCTTCTTTCCATGACTGCTTTTGTTCACATTGACTGCATCTTCAAGAATCTACTTTGCAGCCATGAGGGAAATAACTGATGAGTTTGCTCATTATAGTGTTTTAAGTAAATTTACAATTTTGTATCGGGCCACATTCATAGCCATCCTGGGCTGCATGCAGCCTGTGCATCACTGGTTGGACACCCCTTACTTCAATGCATATGTCGTATGATCTGTATTTTTCAATAAGCTTGAAATTCAGGGATAAAACCAAGAAGAAAGGCTGCAACTTGTTAAGTTTAAATTTTCAAGTGCATTTTAGTGACTAAATTCATTTAGGACTAGAAGCTGTACTATATAAAAAGAACACACATTTCTTACTATCCTTAAGTCCCTGAGATACAAAACATCTGTATCTTGTTCCCCAAATCCATGAAGGCTTTCTATGGTTGGGACCCAATGGTAACCTGTCTAGATCATTTCTCAAGTTTTTGTCAAGAATGAGATATGGAATGTGATGGTGCATATTATTATTTCTGAAGCTGGTACATGATCTTCATAAAGGTGAAAACCCAGAACTGGATCCTGGGGTAGCACCATATTCGACTTCTCTGACCCCACCTAGAGTGTCTATGCATTGTCCTGCCACAGGGACTTCAGCCAAGGAAGAGCCACATGTCAGCATGCAGGGCAGAAAAACCAACAAATGTTTCTTTTAGTAGGTTCAAGTCTTTGACTTGAAAGAAAGGAATTCCATCTTTGACATAGAGGAGAAGGTCCATTCCGAACCAATTTGCTGAAAATAACCAATTAGCCAAATTTATTTATTTCTATGACATTTTAACTTTAGTTGACTGGAAATCATTTTGTTTTTCATCACAATATATTAAAGAATCTTGAATTTGTCTCTTCTCCAGCTTCCTATAGCTAGTTTGAAAGTGGGAGGTAAAGAGAGGAAAAACCAGGGAGCATAAGATTTCTTCACAGTGAAGAATATTTATACATATATTAAAAAAACATATTCTCAAGGAATGTATTCAATTATTATCTGCCTTTTCTGATGCTACGTCAGACTCCAACTGTAGAAGCAAGGAGCTGAGGCAGAGGTAAACTGAATAGTCATTAAACTGCTCTTATGAAGACAAAATAACAATACACAAATCCATTTGGTAAATTGCTGATTTAGTAAATTAACTCTTTTACAAAAGAGCCCTCAACAAATTAACCTGCCTCCTAGGTGACTTTATTAGACACAACCAAGTATCCCAAATGAAGCCATTTCACCATGTTTGCTGAGAGCAATCATCATGCTGCTCACTAGTTACTTTGTGGATTAATGATTGCATTGTTGTTTTGGGAAAAACTTCTCAAATGTCTTGAGGAAATATTTCAACTACTAGACACTCCTTTGACACTCCTTGCCTCCTCATATTGGCACCATCTCTGTCTCCTTCAATAGAGTCTCAGATTGTGGGACCAATTTTAAACCCAAAGGGGATGCTCCTCAAGATCATTCTGTCTGTCCTGCCCCTTACCTGTCTGAAGTTAGAAAAAAAAGACAAGAGAATTTGGCTTAAGGACCACAACCCAGACACAAAACACAACAGGGAAAATAAGGGGTGGAGGGTCTAAGGGACACCAGACATTATGCATCCTGTTGTGTACCCTTAGGTTACATAATCTGCTTCAGGAGACTTGGTTTTGGAGATCTTATGCCCCAAATCTGCAGTGTCTTTACCACCTTCCTCACTATTCAACATCTTTGAAGTAGCTGAGCATTGTTGAAAGAGATATTGCCCAGAGACCTCTTGTGAGTTGAGGCCAGCTTTCCCCTTTTGTGGCTCCTATGGAAAACCTAGATCCTGTCCTTGAAATCCTACTGTTTGATGCCTCTGAAGCAGACACTTGAGGGGGATCCAAATCTGGGGCTCGTGTGGGCCAAAAGCAACATGTGTTAAAGAGATAATCTTGAAAGAATAAGAGGGAAATTAAAGAGAGAAATCAGAAACTCATGTCATGAGGCAGAACAAACCTTGCTCTACCTTCACAGTCACAGTGTGCCTGCTGTTTGCCAAAGGATGTTATTATTATGGTGACCATCATGATAATTAGGTCTGTCCTACAACTTCAATACCACACCTCCAGGGAAAGGATTGCAAACGTTTTGTCTTTGTGAAAGTCTCAAACTTAAAGGATTTAACTGCAAATTTATTTTGTTGATTTTAACATTTTTGTCAATTTTAACATAAATACAAGACAATTAAATATATCAGAGATGAAATATTGCAAAGGCAAATCAGCACTCACAGAAGTGTATTACATTATTAGTATAGTTAGCCTGGGATACAACATTCACTTGAAATATATGCAAGGGAACCTCAGTGAAAGACCTAACTAAAGGGTTTGGAAATGTTCCCAATAAGGACACACTTGACGCACTGCTCAAGCAGCTATAGGTGGGAAGTAAGATAGACCCTCTATAACTAGGAGCAATCAGGGTTTGATACATATTGAAATAATAGCATCACAGGATAGTTCCCCATTCCCATTAGCTGGTCCCCCTGTCACTATACATTCTTAAGACTAGATCTCTTTTTAAAAATAACTATAGTTCTGGCTGGGCCAGAGTGTACCAGTCATTACAACCAACAATGTACCATCGTAAAGAACAGTAATATGATTTTTTTCTTTATATACATCACCTTTAAAAAGTAATCCCTATACTACTCCTCTTTAATGAAAGGCTCTGGGGATTTGCGAGGTGGCAGTGTATGTACCTCCTCCACATTCACAATTTTCCTGACACGGTGTAGATTACACTTCCTTCCCTCTCTGTGGCCACAGTATTAAGCTAAACATCTTGGTGAAGATTTCCTAATTTAATGATCAGAGATAAGGTCAGGAGATGGATATTGAATGCCATGTATCCAGGTGTATACAGTCCACACCCTGTACAAGGGTACACCCTAGAGCACAGGTGGCAAACACACGGTGCACGGGCTGAATCTGGCCCTCCACCTTGCTTTATCTGCCTGGCACCCTGTTTGTACCCAGCGGCAGCACTGAGCTCCTTGCCCCTAGTTAAGGAGTAGTTACATTTATACAGTCCTAAAGTTACATTTGTCTCTTTGAAGGCAACCGTGAGGCTGATGTGGCCCCTGGTGGAAATGAGTTTGACATCCCTGCCCCAGAAGGTGAGTGGAGCTAAAATACAGTCTCCACTCAGTTTAGCAAACTGAGTCTGGGGCTGTGTCTGTCTAGTGGTGGAACCTTTTTACTATTTTGCTCAAAGGCACTGTATGAGCTAATTGTTGAACTGTCTGCTTACATTTTCCCAATCTGACTGGCATCATTATTTCTTCATTTGAATGAAGTTTCTGTATTTCACATCCCATATAATCTCCAAAAAGAGTTTTAGAACTTACTGAACCAGCAAGGATTTTTTTTTTTGCATTACAACAGTAGACACAACATTACAACCATGATTCTACAAAGAAATAAATTTACACAGTAGAAAATAAATACAAAAAAAATTTAGAAGATTTTTGACATGTGAATCACTAAAATTTAGCTTATTTACAACAAAGTCATGCACAACTAAATTCATCAACAGGCTGAAGTCAACAGTTGCTTTATATGATGTTATCAAAGATAACATAACCTGTTTAAAATGTGGCTGGATATGAACTACTTTTATTTAAACAAATCTTATTTACTATGTTGTTTAAAACCAATCTTCTTTTAAAATGAAGGAAAAGAAACCAAGTTGCAAATGTCTCAAAATATCTTGGTTTCCTCTTTCAATAGTAACCACTGCCCTCAGTTAGCTTATGGTCCTCCAGAGGTTGCTGAGTATAAAATTAGTTGATTTTTCATACATCTCACATTGCAGAAAAGGTAAAAAATGGACATTTTCACGGTCAAGCATCATGCTTTGATTTCAGAAAAAGGAATCACATTTGCTCAATAAAGTGTAAGCTTCCTCGCTTTGAAGTCCTTCTGAAAGCAATACGACTTTTACTATTACAGGAATCTTCTTTCTCATTAAACATGTGCTGTTTTCCAGTGAAATCATGAAGGCACACATCTCCATTCCGAACACTGAAAGAAACACCATTCTTCTCTGTAGAAGCATTCCCTATATAAAGAAAAACAAACTTGATGTCATGAAGTATCCACAGAAAGCATTTAAAAAATAAACTTAAATATCACTTTATTCCTAAGTATACACACACAGACGTGTTTTTCAAAGTGTTTTTGATATATTGCCATGTTTTACTTACTTTCATTCCTTCCCTAAGGCCACTCAAAGGAAGCAAAACAAATTGGAGAATGTTTCCTCTATGGCAGTTTTTTAAAGTGAAATGGTCAAACTATGAAGCAAAACAATATATTTGATTTTAAAAGGCCCATTTCTTAACCCTGGTTGAACATATATTGACTTCAAGTAGTAGCATATATGTAATATAACCTAATGTAATATTCCAATCTACCCCAAAAGGTTAAGATAACAGATCTCCATATGTCCTCTTATAAGGTTCTTGGTTCCCTAAGCTTCCTATAAAATAAAACTTGGTACCAGCGAAACCCAGAGTGACAACAGTCATGGCGAGGAAAAAACTGTCTCCTGTAGGCTAAACCTGCCTCTCTCACTGGACCAGGATAGGACTGACTCCCAAGAGGACACCACCAATTCCAGCCTCAGAGTCCAAGCCAGGGGGCAGCTGGGCATTCTTGAGAAACTGTGATTTGGATTCTACCCCAAGCAGACCTTGAATTGTGTGTGGGGGGAGGGGGGCAATGCACAACAGCTGAGACCCTCTAGATACTTGACATCATCCTTCTGACCATTATACCATTAGAGGACAATGTAGAAAGCTGAATAATAAGCCCATTTGTTAGTTTATGCCATAGTTATAGTAATGACAACAGTGCTAAGAACTTTAAAAGTATTACATCATCTATTATTCTACGGGATGGAACTAAGGTATCAGAAGTTAAGTGCTTTGCTTAAGGTTAAATGGCTCAGAAGTGGTGGATTCAGCACATGAGGTTTCTTGCAAAGTGTGAGCTTGTGGCCCATGTACCAAGTAAGATAGCTATTGGTACACAAATCTCTAAGGCAGCCCGTAACTGAAATATGTACTATTCACACAAACTGTGTGTTACATATTGTTAAATGGCACCATCTCTGACACAGCTCAAATAAGGCATATGACTATCTGAGGCAGCTGTCCTGATTTAGGCATTTTGCTTTGAGGACACTTTGGTGCAGAAACTATTTTACCTGGTATAATAAACAAAGCATTAAATTTCCAGCTTTTTTGAAAGTGCCTTTCCCATCCCTTGTCTATTCTAGATCCTGGTGTGTGGACTGAGGAGTCAGGGATATCTATCTGACATACATTTTATATGGTATTAAAATAAACACTTAGCCATTTTGGTGGCCTAAAATGCAACCCCACCCTCACCATCAGGCAGCAAAAATAGCTGTGTCAAATTAGTCATGTCAGACAGCTGTGCAAACTGTGCTGCTTCTGTCAAATCTGATCCCCTGAAGGATGGCAACATATTCCTAGGCTAGGCAAATGAGGCTTCATCTCAGCTCTTTCTAGAATATGCATAAAGTTGGCTTTTAAGAGTCTCAAACACTTCTATTCAAGCCATTAGGCTTTCCTGACAGATTATGATTCTTGATGGTTCACCTCACACCTCTGATTTCTTTACTTTGAACTTGCTTTCTCATACTAACTATGAGTTAACCTTAACTATCACTGCCTCTACGCTGTTTACCTACAGTGAGTCGTTCCTGATATAGCCCTTTGGCATAGAGGCCAGAGCTCTCCCCTAGTATCTACAGTAAAGAGCTAAGGCCATTGGCAGCTGTTTCTTAGCTTATACAGCAATGGTTCTCAATGATGGTGCGGGAGATTTTTACCCTCCAGAGGATATTTCCCAATGTCTGAACACATTTTTTGTTGTCACAACTGGGGGTGAGTGGGGGCATGCTACTGGTATCTGGTGGGTGGAGACCAGGGATGTTGCTAAACATCCCAAAATACACAGGATAGTGCCCTGCAGTGAGGATTTATATAGCTGCAAATGTCCATTGCACTGAAGTTGAGAAACCTCAATATAGAGGCATCTTTGGGAGGGGAGGTTGGAAAAGTAGTTGGTAGGTGTATGTATAAACCTTCTGACAATTTTTTTGAATTTGTCATGAAAATAACTAATATCCTAAAACAACGGATAAAGGCAAATTCGCCAGGAAAAGAGAAAGTATACCAGCAGAACTTAAGTTTTTATAAAAATGCAAAAGACATATTAAGAAGCCAAAGAAGATAAAAATAGATAAGCTTTTATGAGTAATGAACAGCCCAGTCTAATGAAAGAAAGGAAATGTAATGGTAGTTTTAGCTAAAAATGTCAGAATTAATGAGTAAGGCAGGTGCAGCAGCAATAATCTGTTCACATATTGGTGACAGTATGTGACATATTGGTGACATACTGTCACCAATACTGGTCACAGCATTTGATATATTTATGGGGATTTGGGCACTGTCACAAGGCAGCCACACTGTGGAAAATAATGAACAAACATGGTAAGTGAAAAAGAGAAAAGCTTAATCATGTTGAAGATGTGTATGACTGTAGATAAGGTAAACATTGATATAATTTTACCAACTATTTTAGGTACTAGCTGCACAGAAATAACAGAAGGCTTGGGTAATACTTAAATCAAGATTTGCAATGTTAAAACTTTTAGGTCATCATCAATTCCCATCACAAAAAAACTGAATCTTAAAAAAAAAATAAGAAAAAACCCAGTTCTGGTATTTGCTCTAAAGTGAATACATTTAGATTAATAAACTTCCTCTTTTATAAGAGAAGCATGCTTTGACCCACTAGTCATATATATAATTGTTCATTTTCCATAGCAAAAAGACCATCAACAGATAATAATACTTCAATAAAATGAACACTAGCTTAAGAGATACTATATTGAGACATACATACCATTCCCACTCATGAGTCCTGAGCAATCATTATTCACTAGCAGTGTGGTGGAATGGGTGGAGTTACTGTTTGACTGTAGGGAATTTGAAGAGCTGGACACTCCTTGGTTTACAGTCTGCTTCTTTAAACAATTAGTAGCAGTTTTGCTCCAGTCTATAGCAGAATAAGCATTACAGAAAAACAGGGAGGAATGTTGAAGCTCAAAGGCAAGAGATAGATCACAATGTAACTTGTTCTAGCAACTGATCTCCCACTTTCAGATATCACAGAGAAGTCACGCATTTCACAAGTTGGTATGATGAAATATCTGTTCATTTAAGACTATATACTTTTGTCTTTGTCCTTTAAATGACTACTTGTCATTTAATGTAACATATGTAAAAGTAGCATATATTCCCTTAGAACTAAAGGCCAAGCTAATTTGATTATCTCTATAAATATCCACTGAATTATGTAGTACTTTGGAGCCAAGGACTGTCTTAAGAACATATATCAAACATGTTATGATGACTCATGGTTCTTAAATCCATGCAAATGACTAAACTACATATACTGCCGTTTTCTGAATATATATCTTGTGCAACCAGATTTTTGCAGTACTGCAAAGGTTGTATTCATGCAAAAGGAGTTTAGTTTTCAGACTACTTAATTTTTCTTATTCTCTCTCTTAAAAATGAGCTATTATTGTACAATCTAACAGAATATGAAATATTATAACTTCCAAATAACCAAGTGTATGCTATAACCAAACAATTAAATAAATGATTGTTAAAGGTTATATACAAGGTTGAGTCAAGACTTAAAAAGTTATGAAGGTAAATATTAAAAATTACTTTGGGTAAATGGGAAACATTAGCTCAAAAGGAAATACACTCTAAAATTTTCACCATTGCTTCATTTAAAAAGAAGCCAAACATTAATTTTATTGCTCACTAAGTTCCTAGATATGAGTAATTATTTTTAATTTATTAGGGTTTTTTGCCCCTAATGTTTACAATATTTTCTGTTGAGCAGGTTCCACTCATTAATTTCCAGATCTGACAGCCCTTTGGTATCCGTTGCTTTGAATCTTAACTTATACAATCTTTTCCTCAAGATTTAGAAGGATAAAAAGTAAATCTTTACCAGAATTTTCAGCCAGCCGTAACTTTCCACAACAAAGATGCCGCCTCCATTGCTTTCTGACATTCTCTTTTGCTACACAGTAAAAGATGAATATGAAAAATCCTATGGGGGGAAAAAAGACCCATAACACAGTGAATTCCAAACTAAGACCTGAATGTTATGAGCTTCCTTTGCACAAAAGATAAAATCTTTGGCAACTATAGGCAAATGAACTTTTTCAAAGTTGAAAAAAATCAAAAGTTCTGGGTTACTTTGCTATCTAAAGGCACCCTGGGACACTCTCTTTGTAAGATAAAAAAATACTTATAAAAAGAGTGATCATTCTGTATTTCTACAATTAAGCTCATTGTCTCTTTTCTGTCCCTTGCCTTCCCTACCTTTGGAAGTACAAGCTATCCAGTCAGGATGCCAGCTTGGACCTAGGCTCCTACCTCTCACCCCTCCATATTTATAATTGCCTTCAAGTTCTGTCAAATGCATCTCCTCCATTTGTCTCACATTCCTTGCTCCTCCTTTCAGCCCTTGCCTGGTCCTTCCCCTCTTCCTCACAAGCCTGGGCAGTGCAGTCTTCCAGCTTCCCTCTAACCTGCTCAAGGAAATTCTCCACTGGCATCCTGGTTAAGAAGAAAACAACACTCCAGACTTGAATAGGCCCTCAGGCTCCACCCCCTATCTACCTCTGTCTTAGATTTGCAGTCCCAGGGCTTACCACATAGCCCCATTAGTAAGACTCCTCAATGCTTTCACCAATAAATATTTGCTGAATGAAGGGACAAATCTGGAGTTCTCCCTCTCCCCAACCCCCAATTTATCCTCTTTAAAATCTTCATTTTAAAACATCAGGTGTGTCTTTTCAGGTGTTCATCCTAAAAACTGATATCTTTTTTTAAAAGATTTTATTTATTCTTAGAGAGGGGAAGGGAGGGAGAGAGGGAGGGAAACATCAACGTATGTTTGCCTCTCACCCGCCCCCTACTGAGGACCTGGGCCACAACTTAGGCATGTGCCCCCAATAAGAATCCAACCAATCACCCTTTGATTCTAGGCCCGCACTCAATCCACTGAGCCACACCAGCCAGGGCTAAAGACTGATATCCTGAATAGTGCATGCACATTTTTGTTCATTTGCCACCCTGGGTAGCTACCCTTTGTTGCATTAGGAGAGAAACAGCATGTAGGAGAGAGATGAAAATGGGGGTACCCAAGTCCCAAATCAGAGCCTAAACATCTCTCCTTTAATCAACACCAAAGCCCTGTAAATTAGGTCCCTTTTATAAACAAAACTACATTTCTTCTGTCCATTCATATTCTAATGAACAGACATGCTGGGGAAATGAAAAGAAAGAGGCAGGTTTAGTTTCCACATTAAATACAGGAGGGTAGGTACCTTGCTTTTGTTTTTATGATTAGTGTGATCTCAGCACATTTTTTTTATGTTAAAGTGCCTCTTACTTACAGCATATTTGCCATTGTTTGCAAATAAAACTTTTCTATTTAATTCTATGTAGTGCAACACCTAGATATACCAATTTGGAAACTGGTACATTGTAGGTTAAAATTTAACAATTGTATGTAACCAACGAACATATTAACTGGTTTCCTCCAAATAAAATAAGAACCAACAGGTAAATTAGGCATTTGAATTCAGTCTCAGGTTTGGATTTCTTTGAAAACAAACAAAATGATCTATTGCCTGATAGAACTACAGGAGGATGCTGTGGGAGCAAAAGGCAACGGGAAAAGATTAAAACAAGCAGATTAGAATGCAATTAAAAAGCATCCCAACAGAGGATTTGGAATAAAAGGAAACCAAGGGGCATGAATTATTGTTACTGTAATGTAAACCTATTAGGCTGCTTGGCTTTTAATGCCAAAGTACTATACTTCCATTAAAAATTAATCAGAGCTGACAAGTCTTTTATAACTGGTCTAAAAGAGTTAGTAATTTGTTTTTCCAAAGAATAGAGCTAAGAGGGTTTGAAACTACAGCTGGGCTTCATTACCAAATCGGAAGCTCTGAAGTAAGGGTGATACACCAATCCTGACCCTTTCCTGCTGCACGTCCCAGAAGAGCAACTTCTCAGGATTAGCCACTGGGCCAGGCTGCTGCCACCTGGGTCTGTCTATTGACTCCATATTTATCATTGTCTCCCAGTCAAACACAGACTAAGGAGGCTGGAGTGGTGAGACCTGACAGAAACATTTATGGCATGTGTACTTTTCTGTATGGAAGTTCTATTTCAATAATTTTTTTTTAAAAAAAGTAAGGAACCAAGCAAAAGAAGAATCATTGACTCCCAGAAAAAGTTCCTGGCAGGTTCCCCTCAGTATGTTCTTTGAGGAGATGATGGAAAAAACTACCAATTCTTTTTTTTAATCTTCACCCAAGGACATTTTTTCATTGCTTTTTAAAGAGAGAAGAATGGAGAGAAACATCAATGCTAGAGAGAAGCATCAATCAGTTGCCCCCCTCACACCTGGGCCAAAGATCATATGTGACCAGACCAGGGATCATATATTCCCAGATGTGGACTGAACCCGCAACACAGGCATGAACCCCTACTGGGAATCAAAGCCATGTCATACCTTTGCTTGCGGGATGATGCTCCAACTAACTGAGCTACACTGGCCAGGGCAAAAGTACCACTTCTTCAGTTTAGTGACTGCCTTTCTTCCCAGCATCTCAAGCACCCTTTCTCAAAGATAAATCTGTTTTTTCAACGAATATATTTTAAGCTAAATAAACCACTTTCAAGATACTCTTTTAGTAATATTATTAAGTTCAAGTGGGATCATTCGTGCAGATTTAGTGCTATGGGGCTTACCTTGTAAAGTGTTAAAGATGGCAAAGAGATACATAAAGGCGACATTAACTGGTCCCCAGGCAAAGAAGGCAAAGCCCCAAGTAATTCCCAGTAAAAATGTAAGGCCAGAAACACTCCTGAGGTCTTGAATACTGGTTTTTCGCTGGGCTCCCAGTTGCTTCTTCTTTTTAATTCGACAGAGCTGGATCAGGACCACAATGAACATGCTGACATTCAGCAAAAATATCACACAGAAATATCCCACAACTGTAATATAGAATACAGCATTGCTGTTGATCCAGCAACTGTAATTTGGGGGGAAAACAGGAAAATGTATTAAAATTCTGAAATATGGTTCAAACTGATGCAATGAACGTTTCCTACAAGTAAAAAAGAGAAAAACTGATAAAACCACTGTTCTCCACAACCATTTATAACTATAGGGAAAAAACCCTAAGACAATTTATTTTAGGACACTTGGTTACTGTAAATATTTAAAAATTATTCTTTGAAAACATTTTGGATTTTACTCCCTTTAAATCCTAGTAACTTTATTCCATAAGTCTTTACTAACATAATGTAACTGATAACTAGTATTTACTTTTTATGAGAGACTTATAAAAGTATTTTCTTTCAAAATACTTCCTTCTAATTTTTTAATACTTAAGTAGTAGTAACATGGTATTTCCAGTTACTTTATCTCTCTCTGTATATGTGTGTATATATACATGCATATATGCATATGTATATATGTGTATGTACATGCATATGTATATATACATATGGTCTAGCACAGTAATGGCATTTTTGATTACAAAAATAATAAGCATTTAAGTCTGTAACATAATATCATACTCAAGCACACCATGACATTGTATGTAAAATGTTCAAATTAAAACGATAAATTATTATACCCATAATAGTACTGTACCAACCACACACAAGTATTACTTCTGCCAGACTATATATCTCTCTATCTATGTAATGTGCTAGAGTTGCTGTAAATGTTACTGGATTTTATTATGATGAGAATCATAGTCAATATGCTGATTAGATCCCCCACTTTCTCGGAGAATTCTGTTTTCCAGTTCACTTAACATTTCCTTGAGGGCTTAGTACTCACAAGTCATCAGGCGAGCCATTAAGGAATTTCCCATATGATCCAAGCCCATAGTTGTCTGGGGATATAGTCAGGACAATGGTTACAATCACGGCTGGTACTCCTGGAAGATAGGAAAACACCAGTCACACATAGTTCTAGTAACCAAAGGTAGTGAGAAGAAGAAATAGAGATCATGGTCTGTTTTCTTCGGGCAGAAGGGCCTGGTGAATTGTTCACCAAACCCAGTTTCTCTTCTTTGGCACATGGCTGGATATCTCCCAGCCTCCCTCGCAGCTAGGTGGACGTGGCAACATGACTAGGTCTTGGCCAGTGGAATATGGATGAAAGTGATCTGCTCCACCTCTAGGTCTGTCATAAAAACCTCCTATGAGATCCTCTAATCTCTTTCTCCCCAATTCAGGGCAACCTTGGAAGTCCTGTGTTGAAACAGAGTCTCCTGAGGTTTAGATCCTGAATAACCGTAAGACCAGGGATTCCTCTGTTCCTGCTAACTGGATTGTTCATGAATAAGAAATTATCTTCTCCTGAGATTTCAGGGTTTGTCCACTATAGCAGTTGGTGTTACTCTTATCTTATACATTCTTGGAATATAATTTTAAGTGCCACATGGGAGGCAAAGTAAAAGACTCCAAAGTGTAAACAAAATGTGAGTCACAGTTGGCTTACTAGGATTACCAGCAACTCTTGGCAAATCTTTCATTATAAACTCAAATGTTCTTGACTGATTATCTGGAACCCATTGAAGGATTGAGGAGCCTGACCTGGTTGCTTTAGAGGTGATGACTTCTACTATGTAGGCTTTCTCAAGGGCCCACAGGCACTTCCACTAAGAAGAGGCCAATGAGAAGGCTCCTCCCAGCTTAAAAAGGCTTTTGGCTGGGAAGGAGTCTTTCTCACCCCCCACCATCACCCTCCACCTGACCCAGTACAGAAAGCTCACACAGACCAGCCTCTCACCAAATCTCAAGGCTTTGGGATCTAAGAAACAACTCATTCTCACAGACAGGTTGGGTTTCCTGGTACAATCTAACATCATATTTCATTTATCTCTTTTATATTTGTACCTTCTGGATACACTGACATATGACTTCCAAAGTGAGACACTTTCCTAAAAATAAGATATTGGGAGTATAGAGCTAGTCCTTGACAAAGAAATTAGACCTTTCAGGGTTCTACAGAATTTGTGCCAGTGCCAGAGCAGTGACTTATCTTTCTTGGAAGGTGTTCTGTTATTCTTCACAAATCTATGACAAGCCCGGTGACAAGGGTAGTAAAGGTTCTGTAATCCTGTTGTGTGGAAGGTATTTGAATGAATGTTTATCGTGAGAAAGAGAAGGGAATTTGGGAGGGGTTGAATCTGTAATACAGTGGAAGGAATATGCATAAGAAATCAGAAAGCCAGGCTTGGCTGCTCTTGAACTTATGTGAATTGCGGTAAATCATGTCATCACTTAGAGCTGGTTTCTTCACCTGAAGTTAGCAATAACAGCCTTGTTAACCTCACTGACTTGTCTTTTATGGGGTTATTTGTGTGAAAATACATAGAAAAAATGGGCATTACACACAATGTTATGTATTACTTGTAGATTATCTAAAGGACTCTTTGGCAGAAGAGTTGTCAGATGATGATGATGATGATGATGATGGTGATTTTGCCTGAGAGAATAAAACTAAGACCCCAGGTAAGTGCCAACAGAGAGCCAAATGAGCTTAATGGAAAAATAGAACTATAGAGATTTTAAAAAATTGCTACTGACTGCCTTGTAATGTATTAAAAATAAGTCAACAGGTCCCAAATAGAGTTGCTTATGCTAAGCCCCATGTCACCAATCCAACACTTAATTACAGTTTCAGCTCTCCCAGAAATGGAATCTTACACCAGTCAATCAGGAGTCACCTTATGGGCACTAGTTAGGTCATCTGCCTGATAGGCCCCTGTCATTCCCTAAAGGAAAGTGACCTTGCAAAAACCAACCTGCTTTTTTGTCTGGTATAACATCTTTATTCCTGCTTCCTTCTGCCTATAAAAATTTTTCGTATCAGGACAGCTCACTGAAGCTCCAGTCTGTCCGCAAGATTGGATGCTGCTCAGCTGATGAATCATTGAAAAAAGCCAATACGATCTTTAAAATTTACTCAGTTGAATTTTGTTTTATAACAGAGGTTATGAGATCCCCCCAAAATAGAGGTGTTCAAGCAGAGGTTAGATTATCTTTTATCAATCTAAGTGAAGGTGAGGAAGTTCCTACATTTAGTGAATATTTGAATGAAGAAACCTTCAAGATCTTTGGGGTTCTAAGACTTTGGACCTACCACCAATAGGTGACATAATCTGAAATATTGTGCCAGTGTGGTAATGAAGTTATATTAGGTTTTATCTATACATTTACTCACTCTGCCCTTCTGAGCATACCACCATGCATGTGTATGAAATCTGGGAGGTACAGAACAGAGTGAGGCTAGCTGGGAGCTTAGAGGCTGAGAGTTTGGCCTCATTGTTACCAAGCTAACTTTTTCAATTTATTGAACACCTTCTTTGTGCCAGCCCCAAATCTACTTGCTAAAATACAAAGAGAATTCATAGCTCTAAACCTCAGAATTTTTTGTAAAATATATTTTTATTTATCAACTATATTTGATGTTCAATGTTATATTAGTTTCAGATGTACAACCCAGTGATTAGACATTTATATTATTTATGAAGTGATCACCCCAATAAATGTAGTTGCCATCTGACACCATATATAGGTATTACAATATTATTGACTATATTCCCTATGCTATATTTTATATCCCCATGACTATTTTGTAAATACCAATTTGGGCTTCTTATTTCCTTTACCTTTTCCACCTAGCCCCTCAACCCCCTCCCCTATGGCAACCATCAAACTGTCCTCTGTATCTATGAGTCTATTTCTGTTTTATTTTGTTCTTTAGATTTTGCATATAAGTGAAATCATATGGCATTTGTCTTTCTCTGTCTGACTTATATCACTTGGCATGATACCATCTAGTTACCAGGAGTATCCAACCTTTTTGGCATCTCTGGGCCACACTGAAAGAAGAAGAGTTATCTTGGGCCACACATTAAATTCATTGTAACACATAATCACAAAAAAATCTCATAATGTTTTAAGTAAGTTTACAATTTTGTGTTGGCCTGAATTCATAGCCATCCTGGGCTGCATGTAGGCCATGGGCTGCAGGTTAGACACCTCTGTTAGGCCCATCCATGCAGTTGTAAATGGCAAGATTTCATTCTTTTTTATGGCTGAGTAATATTCCATTAGGTACATATACCACATCTTGTTTATCCATTTGTCTATTGATGGGCACTTAGCTTGCTTCCGTATCTTGGCTATTGTAAATGTTGCAACGAATCTTTTTGAATTCGTGTTTTGGGGTTCTTTGGATAAATACCCAGAATTGGAATTGCTGCGTCCTTCTTTGTCTCTTGATATAGTCTTGTTTTAAAAGTCTATTTTTCTGGTATAAATATTGCTATCCCGGATTTTTTTTCCATTTCCATTTTCAAGAAATATCTTTTCCCACCCCTTTACTTTCAGTCTGTGTGTGTTTCAATCTGAAGTGAGTCTCTTGTAGACAGCATATGAATGGGTCTTGTTTTCTTATCCATTCAGCCTCCCTGTGTCTTTTGACTGGAACATTTAATCCATTTACATTTAAAGCAATTGTTGATAGATATGTATTTATTACAACTTTATTCATATTTTGATCTTTTTTCCTTTTTCTTAAAAAAGACCCTTTAGCATTTCTTCTAATACTTGGGGCGGTGATGAACTCCTCTAGCTTTTTCTTATCTGGGAAGCTCTTTATGTGTATTTCGACTCCAAATGATAGCCTTGCTGGGTAGAGTAATCTTGGATGTAGATCCTTACTTTTCATCACTTTGAATAATTCATGTCAATCTTTTCTGGCCTGCAAAGTTTCTGTTGAGAAATTAGCTGACAGTCTATGGGAGCTCCCCTGTGGTAACTGACTTTCTCTTGCTGCTTTAAAGATTCCCTCCTTGTCTTTAACCTTTGACATTTTAATTATGATGTGTCTTGGTGTGGACCTCTTTGGGTTCATCTTGTTTGGGACTCACTGTGCTTCCTGTGGACTTGTATATCTATTCCCTTTACCAAGTTAGGTAAGTTTTTTGTCATTATTTTTTTTTCAAATAGGTTTTCAATTCCTTTCTCTCTCTCTCTCTCTCTCTCTCTCTCTCTCTCTCTCTCTCTCTCTCTCTCTTCCCTCCTTCTGGTACCCCCCATGATGGAAATGTTGGTACACTTGATATTGTCCCAGAGGCTCCTTAAAACAATCCTCATTTTGGGGGGTTCTTTTTCTTTTTGCTGTTCTAATTGGGTGTTTTCTGCTACCTTATCATTCAAGTTACTGATTTGGTCCTCTGCTTCATCTAATCTACTGTTGATTCTTTCTAGTGTATTCTTCATTTCAGTTACTATATTCTTCATTTATGACTGATCCTTTTTTATATTTTCTATCTTCATTTTTGTTTCTTTATCTTTTTGTTGAAGTTCTCACTGAGTTAACTTATTCTTCCCCTAAGTTCATTGAGCATCGTTATAACCAGTGTTTTGAACTCTGCATCAGATAGATTGCTCATCTATTTCTTTTAATGGAGTTTTGTTCTGTTCTTTCATTTGGGACATGTTTTCTCTGCATTTTGTCTCCTCCCTGTGTTTGTTTCTATGTATTAGGTAGAGCTGCTATATCTCCCAGTCTTTGTAGAGTGGCCTTAAGTAGTAGGAGTCCTGTGGGGTCCAGTGGCACAACCTTGCCAGTCACCTAAGCTAGGCACTCCAGGTGTGCCCCACATGTGATCTTTGTGCACTCTCCTGTTGTAGTTGAGCCTTGGTTGCTGTTAGCATGTCAGTGAGTAGGAGGGATTAACCCCCAGGCTGATCATCTGTGCTTACTGTCTATGACTACAGTGGAGGAGCTACTGTGCAGGGGCTCACCTCACAGAGCAGGACTTGCTTCAGTCCACCCCTTTAGTTACTCATGGAGGTGGGTATGTGGTGATCTGGCATGGTCTGAAGCTGTCCACTGGGTGTGCTAACTGTGGGGCCTTCCCAGAGGTGCAGTCCAAGGTCAACTACTGCCTGTGCTTTTCCCAGGGCCATCTAGCATGAACTAAAAAGTGATTGGCAGATAGTTGCCACTTATACTGGACTTGGAGGTACCTGGGAGAAGCCAAGTTGAGAACTGCAGCCAACTGCCACTAGTACAGGGCTTAAGGCTCCTTAGCAAGAGGTACGGGGCACACTGAGGCCAGATGCCACTTGTTTGTGGTTTGTGAACCTCTGAGAGATTTCAGGAAAGTATACAGCATGAGCAAAAATAGGCCTTTGAATGGAAAACCACTGGAAGTGGCCCAGATGGGCCCACAAGTTGGGTAGGTCAGGGTCTCTGGAAATCAACAGATCAGGGTGAAAAGCATTAGGTTGATGGAGACTCAGATATGCTGTCCACCTCTGCCTGTAGGGGAAGGAATCTGTAAAGGAACAATGGCATCTGCCATCACTTCTGTCTGGGAGAAAGCTGCTCCTCCAGCCCTTGCCCTGAAGCCAGACAATTCAATGCCTCTTGTATGTCCCTGGCTCCTTTCTTTGATGCCTTTCAAGCAAGATGCTGCCCCAGCACTGGAGGTACCAGCCTATTCCATGTCTCTGCCCCTCCTACCAGTCTCAATGTGGCTTTTTCTTTATATCCTCAACAGAAGATATAAAGAAGATGGCTCTGTTGAGCCATCCTCAACAGAAGTTAAGGACTTCTATTCAACTAGCATTCAGGTGGTTCTTAATGATGGCTGCTCTGTAGTTGTAATTTTGATGTGGTTGTGGGAGGAGGTGAGTACCACATTTACCTATGCCACCATCTTGACTGGGAAGCCCTCCTAAGAGTTTTATGTTCATATCTAGTCCAGGCAAAATATACAGGTGTTCTAGAAAGAGACTTGACAAGGTTGCTCTTTGGACAGTGTAACATATGAGGAAAATAAAGCTGTTTTATAAACCTGCCAAGTGTGACCTGTTTCGTCATTGTTTCTATGTAATTAAAAATCAAAACACTGGAGAAAAAGCAGAGAAAGCCAAGACACCGTGCAAACAAATTATACATACCCCAACCGATGATGCAGAATTTAAGGATGTATTTTCGGATGTAAGTATTAAACACTTTGACAAGGGCCAGATACATATGGAATGCTTCTAGGCCCATCCATGTAAATGAGACCAAGAGAAAATAATGCAAAAATGCAGCTGCTGAAATGCAGAGGGTTCGCATGTTATACAGAGCAACCCATGAGTCCAAGAGAAAAACCACATTCAGCAGGAGCAGAGCAGCACAAAGCTGGATGAGAATTTTGGAAGGGTAATCCCTCCGGATCTTTCTAAAAGGAAAGGACAAGAAAAGAATTAGCATCACATTCTCCTTACATGCCTGTATGAGTTTTAAGTAATTTATTCTTTGGTAAACATCTATAGTAGTCTCCTCTTATCCACAGGGAATATGTTCCAAGACCCCCAGTGGATACCTGAAACTGTAGATAGTGCCAAACCCAATAATATACTATGTTTTTTCCTATACCTACATACCTATGGTAAAATTTAATTTATAAATTAGGTACAGTAAGAGATGAACAAAAATAACGAATAAAATGGAACAATTATAACAATATAGTAATAAGTTATGTGAATGTGGCATCTCTCTTTCTTTATCCAGTAATTTTTATATTTTTCAGTCAAAACCTATTTCTGGATCTGTATAACCATCTCTCCTTGGCTTGGTGTCACTTGTTCCTTGCTGAAGTCTTCATACAATAGACTCAGTGCTTTCTGGTGCAACATTTGCCATCGGTTGTAACACACTTTCTGTTCATGTCTTCCCCCCACCAATTTAATGCCTTTTCTATCTTAAGTAAGCACTTATCATGCACTTGTGGCTATACTTTTTGCGATTTGAGATGAAACAATAAAAACTAGCACGAATAGCTTTTTTCTTCATAATTTCACAGATAGAAAATTAGTTCTTACTGTAGAACTTAGCAACCTCAGCAAATGATTTTTTTCTTGCCTTATTAAGTTGAGAACTTTTACCATTTCACTTAAAGGAAGCAAGCACTTTACAGCTTCTCTTTGTCATATCTGAATTGCCATCATCACTACTCTTGTGATGTGGAACCATTATTAAGTAAAATAAGAGTGACTTGAACACAAGCACTGTGATAACCAAGTCGGCTACTAAATGACTACTGGGCAGGTAGCATAAACAGCATGGATATACTGGACAAAGGGGTGATTCATGTCCTGGGTGGGATGAAGGAGTATGGTGTGAGAGTTCATCATGCTACTTACTTAGAACAGTGTGCAAGTTAAAACTTATGAATTGTTTATTTATTTTTGGAATTTTCCATTCAATATTTTTGGACCAGACTTGACTGGGTAACTGAAACTGTGGAGAGCAAAACCTTGGGTAAGGAGAGACTACTGCAGATGCATAAATTTCCTCTCTTTGAGTGCGTGTGTGTGTGTGTGTGTGTGTATGTGTGTGTGTGTGTGTATAGACATTAAAACAACAACAACAAAGGAAAAATCAGTGGAATCATATGGAAAATTTGTGTTTGTGTTTTTGTGAAACCTTTTACATGATGACTGTTGGCCCATTCTTTTAAACAGTTTATAGTGGAATCTACTCAGCACCCTTCCTTTTCTTCTAAACTACTTCTAGAAGCATTGCTGTTGCTTCTCATACAACAGGCTCCTATATTCAGACCTTCAAAACACAGCCAGATTTCCCTCTTATCTTATGTTATTAGTTAAAATGAGATCATGGAAAGAAGAGTTTAAACTATAGCTAAATGACACAGACATAGGAAAAATATAGCTAATTGATGACATGTACATGTTTATGTGTGTGAAATTAGATCTGGTGAAATCATTCTGAGTAATGGCTGGCCTTATGGTAATTTAGTCTCATTAATATTATTTTCAGAGTTCCACTAGAAGATCTGTAGTTACAGCTGGGCCTTAAGTTTGGCATTCAAAGTAAATGTGTGCATTTCTTGATCAGGGTCCAAAAGCTACATCTCAGAAGTTACATATTGTTTTATTTAGTTTAGTTGCCTGTTTCATTTTTTGCATTAGAATTTGTTGGAATTCCCCCCCAAAAAGAGACTAAAGGGACCTTTTTGTAAGCCAAGAAGGAGATGCTATTATTTGGAATGTCATTCTTGCTTTGACCTACAAAGCCACACTTGCCAAGTATCTGTATTTTTCAGTGAGGCTTTATATTCTTTATTCTTCTTTAACCTACATGTGTTAATGTATTTAATCTTTTCGCTTACTAGGTACAATTTAAGAAACATATTAAACATAGCTCTTATGCTATACATAGATCTATGATGTATTTCAAATTGTAAGCTGTTGGGTTTCAGGGTCTTCATCCATCTTCCATTTCACACTTAATGTCAACTAAGTACCAGACATCATTTTAGGGTACAAAGATGATTAAAGTACAGTACCTGCCTTCAGTGAGTACATAGACTAATGGAAAGAATCAAGTATATAAACCAAAAAGTCCCATGAGGTTTTACATATAGATGGCTCTACTAGATGGGTGTGCAGGATAAGGTAGGTTGAGGAACAAATTTAATTAATATGTTTTGGAAATAAAGGTGAACATATCCTATTATTCAAATTTCCATTTAGTTATGGATACTCACTCAAAGGCTATGTAGGTTACAAGAGTAACTGACAGAAAAATTGATGAAAGCCCACAACCAATATATGTGATAAACGTCAGAGCCATCATTTGAGTTGCTGGCAAGGATGTTCGAGATAGGTCCTAGAAAATAAAATATTGTTTTCAAGACCATATATTTTAAAATAAATAAGAGAGTAATGATTTACATTGATTGAGTGTTCTAAGTGCCAAACAATGGTTCATTTAACAAACCAACAAGATAGCCATAATTATTATCATTAGATAAACATAATGAAATTGAGGCCCAGAGTGGTTAAGTAATTTTTCCAAGGTCACACAGCTATTAAAGTAGAGAAGCCAGGATCCAAATTCAGGTCTGGCTGACTCCAAAGCCCATATACTTGATCACTGGAGAAACACCGGGATAGGAGTCTAAAGACTTGAATTTGGCTTCTGGATCTTTATTTCTTAGTTCCATGCCTGTGGACAATTAACTAACAAATAAAGCTTAATTCTCACTTCACTAAAATGACAATAACAATGCTCCTTTCTACCTATTTTGCAGGACTGTTGAGGATATTTAAATAAGACAATTTATTTAAATAAGATAATTTTAAATTACATTGTGAACTAAATAATTTATTACCCATTTTTAATCTGAATTCCCTGGTCCTCCTAGCTATTTAAATAAGTAAATGGAAATGTATAAATAGAATGGGAAAGAATATTTCTATGTTCAAATATTGTCCTTCAAGTGCATTTGCTTATTAGAAGGATACTTTCATTGTGGCCTATAAATTTGCCACAATATCATATCTGCTGATCTATCAAAGTCATCCAGCAGACGAGGCATCATGGTATGATGTCCAGCTACCCCTCAGACCCAGAATCTAAGGCCAGGTATTATGGGGATATTACCAGTAGGACGCCAAAGCTTGTAAGGTGGCTGCAGGTACAGATGGTTTCATTCAGCCTCCTGTGTTTGACAGAGCAGCCATCTGGTGACCAGCCTCCTCCGCCACCTGTTGGCATTGGGAAGAGTATCTGTTTCATCAGCAAGGTCATATCACCAGTGACTGCCCTTCCTCCCCTACGCCCCCTCTCCCACCTACTCAAAACTTTGAAAAAGGTATGATTGGAACCTACCATTTCTGCTTAAGTCCCAAAATACGCATCTTACTGTTAAGTCATCCTGCAGTAGAAAGATACATCACAAATAGTTAATTTATTGAACTGAAAAAGCCAAAAAGCAATTAGAAAAAATTCTTATTTAATTTTTAGAGATGTCTTATTTTATACTGGCCCCTAGAAGCAACTGAGTCTTATATAGGTCAGTACTTCTGAAACTCAGCAATTGTACATAGGAATCACCTTGAGGCTTATTAAAATGCACATTCTGATTCAGTGGGTCTGGGGTGGGGCCTAAGAGTGTATAGACCCCACTTTGAGTAGCAAGATCATAGATGATGCTCAATGTGAACAAAGATGTTTTCTCTTTGGAGGTGAGAATCGGGCCTGCAGCCACAGATTGAAATGCACTGAAATTCTGCAATTGACAAGAGCTTGCTTTTGCATTGTTCCTTCTTGGAAATTTGGTAGCCAGTCAGAGTTACTATATAATTCTAGCCTTATACACTGCCCTGCATCTTAAGGTTCCACTGGATTTCCTTTCTGCAACCCAAATAAAATCTTCAGCTATAGTTTACACAAGGTGTTTCTGGCCAGTTAACAGCCCAGGCAGGCCTCTCCCACCTGGCTTTGGTTGATGTGCTTTAATATAACCGTCACGTTTCTTGTCAAGTTCTTGACAGTCAGGTTCGAAACACTCGATGATATGACGTAGCTGATCAGAGAGAGGTTCTCCAGGGAAGCGTCCTAGCTCACCAAAGAATCAACAAGATGGCAAGGGAAAACAAAATGTTATTAGAGAGTTTTAGAGTGTGAAGGGACCCTGAAGGCTATTTAGTCCACATGTTTGTTTTACAACCTAGGTGAGAAATTGAGGGTCAGGGAGTAAAGTGACTTTTTCAAGGACCATAATTAGAAGCAGAGCTTCTTGCACTAAACAGTGCTCTAAATAGTGAGTTAAATTTTACAAATTGACACAATGGGAACTTCATAAATCCTAAAGGGGACATAACATTACGCCATTTAATATATGTGCTGCCAAAGTGAGCATGGCATGAAGCCATTTAAACTGTGTGTTCTTGAGCAAGTGACTTAACCTCTCTGTGCCTCCATGTCCTCATCTGTAAAATGGAAATAAGATTTTGATAGTTCCTTCCTCACAGAGTTGTTGAGAGGATTAGAGTTAACATTTCTAAGTGCTCAGGATAGTGCTCAGCATTGGTAAACATTAAGTATCAGTTATTGTTATGTATCATCACTAGCATCATTAGGTCCTGTGTAAAAATAAACTGCAGCTTTTCAGCTATTCTTTTGACTTACAGCAGGCATAAGATATGTGAAGATTAAAAGAATCATAAGTCCCCCACCCCAAGTAAAACCTAAACAAAAAGCAGTTGGAGGCAGCTTTACCTGAAACAGGGCAGGTGTTTCAAAAAAGTTGAACTGTACCCTGGAAGCTAGGTGTACATCATTAGCTGGTAAATTATTCATCAGCGATGAAGGCAGAGAAATAACACCAATATTGTCCTCAGGAGCCTCAGTTTCCAGAGAAACCTGAAAATCAAATAAAAATAATGAAAAATGTCTGAGGCTAGCATATTAGGAGTTAGAAAACACAACAACTAATTAAGATGGAAGATCATGTAGGAGCATTTATCTGTGGTATCTTTATGTATAATAAGTTCTTGTTTCTCTGACTGCTGCAAAATTATAGGGGATGTGTAATAGGAAGAGGAGGTCTTGGAGCAGGAAAGAAAACATTTTAAGTATACACATAAACAGTCAGGAAGTACAGGATATTATATGTCAGTTATATCTCAATAAAGTTGGGGTACAGGATAATTGCAGACCCCAGGGAGACCACAGCAGCAACACACCATCTTGGTGACTTATTAGGGCAAAGTCTTCAGAGACTCATATGTACTAAACTTGTAAAGGGAAGACTATAAAATTAAATCAAAAGGGAGGGCTTGGTTTTATTTGGGTGTCTCCAGCCCCAGTGCTTCTAACAGGTGGATAGAAAACAACTAGAAGCAGGACTGACAGTCAGTACCACTATTCACACCAGTGTATCATAACACATGTTAAGAGAATGGAATGGGTTGATAAGTAGCTGATGTCCCTGCTGTTTCTCAACTACCTAGATCTCTCTGCTTGACACTTCCCCCAACTCACCCCTTAAACTTCCACAATCCAGCTGCTAAGGGTTAACACTGGGCTGCAACAAGGACCTCTGAGATCCTGCTCCAGCCAAAACTAATGTCCTTTTTTTAAAAATTCTGTGGTGCATCATTGTTCTAGATGTTAAATATTTTGAATAGCACCCCTGACTGCAAGCAGTAATTGCCTCAATCACATACTCATATGTACATATATAAGACTCTATAAAATATCATATGATATATGATATTGTATATCATATACAAGAAAGGCCGTTTTCCACACTAAATTAGAATGTACCTGAAGATTTTCACCGTCTTGGGCAGCGAAGGTAGTTGTGTTGAAATTACTGGAATTCACTCTGATCACGGCCAGAGCCAAAGAGGGAGAGGTTAGACTTACAGTCTTGGTTGAAAAATTCAGCTGTAAGCCAATGTCATTCACTACTTTTAGCAATCTGTAAAGATAAGTGGCAGTTAAAATTCAACACTCCTACTTTGTTTTCCCCATTCTAAGCATAAAAGAGCATAGCAACTTAACAAATCATTATGAAACTCATGGTGGGAGAAAAAATACTTGGCTACAATTAATCATGTACAAGGCATTATTATCACTGTAGGGGCAGTTTGCTAAGTCATACCTTTGGGCCACAGGAGCCAGCAAGGCAGATGGGGAATGGAGGAGTTTGCTGACTTGGTTTATCATTTCTCCTGCAGTGCTAGGTTCCAAGCTGCCTAAGGACAGAGCTTCCTCCATCTCAGACACTTGGCTCTCAAGATCAGAAACACTGATACTGCTGGTGTGAACAATTTCTGTAACAGAGAGCCAAATCACTTTATGAACACATAATGAAAAAATCACTAACAAAGAAACATAGACTCTGTGATCTGGCAGACCCACTCCTAGGTATTTGCCCCAGGAAAATGAAAACATGTCTTAAGAAGACTTGTTCATGAATGTTTATAGCAGCCTTTTTCATGATAGTCCCAAACTGAAAACAACCCAAATGCCCATCAACTGCAGAATAGATAAACTATGGCCTATCCATACAACAGACTACATTATTCAGTGATAAAAAGGATGCACTACTAAAACATGCAACAACATAGATGGATCCTCAGTTCTCCAATGTATTGCATTGAGAAAAGCCAGACTCAGATGGCTATATGCTGTATGATTCTCTTCATATGACATTCTAGAAAAACCAAAAGTACAATATAGGAGAACAAAACAGATCAGTGGTGACCAGGGACCGGGCATAGTGGATAGGGGGTTGACTCCAAAGGTTTATGAGGAAGCCCTGGGAGTAGTGGAAATGTTATATATCGTGATAATTGTTGCATGACTGTGGGCGTTTATTCAACCTCATGGAACTATATAATTTTCATCCACTCATTAGAATTGTATGAATTTTACTGTGTGTAAATTATACTTAAAAAACCTAACTTAAATAATGTAAAAACACAGCATTATATTTAGTGTATATTCATATAAGCATAAATATACTTGTGTTTAACTTATATCATGCATACAGGATTTTATATGCATAATAGACGTGCTTTTTGTGGAAAAGAGAATATTATAAAATTAATAGCTGAACTACCAGCTATAAGCCTGATTTTTAGTACTTTTTTAAAAGATTTTATTTATTTATTTTAGAGACATGTGAAGGGAGGGAGAAAGAAAGGGGGCGAATACATCGGTTGGTTGCTTCTCACTTGCCCACGATGGGGGACCTAACCCACAACTGTCTCACAACCCAGGCATGTGCCCTGACCAGGAATAGAACTGGTGACCTTTTGATTCACAGGCTGGGGCTCAGTCAACTGAGCCACACCAGTTGGGGCTTTAGTAGTGTTTTAAATTGGGAAATAATGATACAAACCTAACAACAAACAGGTCTCTTAATTTGACCATTTAATATCCTATTTCTTATTTTGCATATTCCTTTCTAATCTTTATTCATGTGTTAATAACATACTGTTATAAACATAGGGTGAAAACTACTTGTTATTTTCTCCTCACTTAAGACTTGAGAAATGACCCCAAGATTCTGTCTAGCTGTTCTTATGTAGTTGTGTAATAGTCATTGTGTTATGTGAGTCATTGTGAGAATATCATATTTCAACATTCCTGTCCTGAGGAACCATTAAATTATATCCACTTTTTAGCTACCAGGTAATAACCCAACACATCTTTTATGCATATGTTACTTTGCTTCTGTTATCTCATTGCCTGAAACCCAAGCCTCAGGAACAGAAGCACAGATGCAAGAGGCTACCTTGCTGGCCCTTCCGTGTAGCCTGTGAGGTTGATTGTAAGGGTCAATGGGGATAGCTTTGGAAATGTGGGCATTAGCTCAGGCTAATGAATTTCAATTTTACTTTATTCTCTTTTTTTAAGATTTTATATATTTTTAGAGAGAGGGGAAGGGAGGGAAAGAAACATCAAAGTGAGAGAGATATATCAGTCGGTTGCCTCTTGCATGCCCCCAGCTGGGGACCTGGCCTGCAACCCAGGCATGTGCCCTAATTGGGAATTGAACCAGAGACCTTTAGGTTCACAGGCCGGCACTCAATCCACTGAGCCACACCAGCCAGGGCATCAGTTTTTCTTTACTCTTCATCAGCTAGTAAACCTTGTCTTGACTAGAGCCCCAGTGATTTTATTATTTGGCCTAAAATGTCCATATTTATTTAAAAATTACTAACAGAGAGCAGTGCAAATATGAAGAAAAATTAAGTCATTTGGCAGAAGCTCTAAATACCCTGGGGATGCTGACACTGTGGTGGAAGAGATGGGGACCACAACCTCAGCTCCAATCTCATGTCACCGAGAATCTGGCTTTGCCTCGAACCATCTTAATTCTAGAGGAGGACCTGCTTCTCAGTCACTGAATTGAAACTCTGGAGAGTATCCAGAATTCTTTCTGCTTCCTTCCTTCTTCCCTTTATCCTTTACCCCTAAACCTACTTTGTTTCTGGGGAGCCCTTTGCAGTTTGCATCGGCATTCTCATGGACACCATTGTTCTTAACCAAGTGCTGTTAGTGTGATTATTTTCATCTTCAAGTAGAGCAGGCTGAGTCAGTAGGAGCTAGATGACATATCCCAGCTCACACTGCCTGTGAGGGCCCATTCAGACCCGCACTCAGGCCTTCTGAATGTTTCTCCCCTCTTTATGGCTACGTTGGCTCAGTCCCAGCTATGTCACTCTGTGACTGATTTTCAGGAATGCCAGTTTTTAAAAAATTTTGTCTTGTCTAATTGGAGTTAATGTTTTTAACAGTTCAAAAGTTTTCAGTATATTGAAAACAGTGACCTAGGGACCTTTTGTAGGAGAAGGAAACCTTTAAATATCTCATCTTCATAAAAAGATCTATGCTTGCCTCTGAGCTATTTCTGCATTGTTGGTCAAAAGAATTACACTGAAATGCCTAAAAGAAAGCTCTTGAAATAAGTATACATTATAAAAAGAGAGACTCAATGTGATCTTATTACAGATATCTTGATTTGGCAGGCTGGTAGCTGCATTTCAGGTAGCAGAATTACAACAAATGTAGGAGCAACTTGGCTCCTCATATTTACCTGTCTCGTCAGAAGGTGTGCTGGTCATGATGACATTCACAGAGGCAGACGTGGTGGGAGAGGGAAGTGGCAGGGTATGGGAAATATCAGTTTTAAGAGTAGGGAAAGAGAGAGTTCTAGATTGGGGGAGCGTGTCAACGGTAGGGCTATAACCTATAGGAATTGAAGGCTGGAGAGAAGGCAGGTGAATCACCCCTGTTGGGTTCTGGGTGACAGGAGATGGATAATCTCGAGACTCAGATAAGGAGAAGGCACTGGAGTCCCGGGAAGAAATGGTAGCCTGAGGAACAACTTGGATGGAATTGCCAGAAGAAAATGGTGGGTCACTTGTATAACCATCAGCAAGACATGTAATTGGATCCTGCAAGTCACTAAAGGAAAGAATCAGAGAGATGTACATGAGACACAAATGACCTACAAAGAGGTGAATCTCCTCTGGCAACCATTTGACAACACTCAAAGCCTAGGCATGACATCGCCATCTCTGAGTCTAAGAGGAAGGCATCAGTGTTTTAAACTTCCAGGATGATCCCAATGTGCAGCTGGGCCTGAGAACCACTGCTCTGTGGTCTAGACCCCTGCTACTTGAAGTGGAACCCATGAACCAGCAGCATTAGCTTCACTGGGGAGCCTGTTAGAAATACAGAATCTTCGGCCCTGCCCAGACCTACTGGATCACAATATACATTTTAACAAGACCCTAATTGATTGATATTTGCAGTAACACTTGAGAAGTGCTGAAATTGAAAGCCCTTACTCATTGTTAGAATTCCAAAATCCCTTAGTGAATGTGGTGATTAAATGTTAATAGTTTTTTTTGTTTTTTTTTAGGAAAAGGGTCAGCATGTTTGCTACATACCACTGCAGTTTTTCTAATTCTTCTGGGGAGGAAGGGCAGGATATTCTGATGGAACAGTAGCACTGTTCTGGAGGAGACAAAGGGAAAGAAAAAAGAAAATGCATGATTAAGAATAAGTCAAAACAGAAGCTCAAATCCATCAAGTATTTTGATTCTTACATTGACTGAATTTTAAAGAACATTTGTTTAAAACAGGTGATAAAATAAATTGGATGCCATTATATTGACACTTACATATACATAGTAGGTACTCAAAAATATTTAGTGAATAATTTTGGGGGGTTATATGCACACAATATCAATTGCTCTTTAGCAACTCCTAAGAGGAATTCAGAAGTAAAGAGATCCCAGCCACAAGTGATTGAACACTCCAAATAAATCTTTCTCAACAGGGCTTATCATGTTTTCAAATGCAGTCTACTGAAATTTTATTAAGAAAGCAGGAAAAATCATCTTTTAGAACTTCCTAAAAATAGCCCAAGGACAAAAGAGTCCAAACAGAAAGCTGTAACATATGTCAATTTATTATATTTTCCATTTTAAAAAAGAATACATCAAAGCCACATGAACATGAATACAGCAACAGAGACAACTTACCCATGAGGTGAATCTTCCCTGTACTAAAAGGCAGCATCTCAGCACATATGTTCCTTGTCTTATTCAGTTTTATTGTGAATGTACAATTTAATGTGCTATAAAGAGAAATATATACAACCAGAATGTTACTAAATTGAAAACCTACCTACATATTTGTAATTTGTCATTGCTTTTTCAAACTTAGTGTGAGGAAAGGAGAGAATGACACTGTTAACTTGCAGTTTCACCCTACGAGCTTGTAAACACCCACCTACTATGGTCTGAACTTAATCCAAAAGACTTTATAGAACAAGAAATTTATAGAGGTTTACATTCACAGAGGTTGCAAACCACAGACCCTCTAACCACACAAGGCTGCTGATTGATTTTACCTGCCTGCACAATGAACAGGTAGGGGTGAAACGTGGCTGCAAAGACAAGCATCTTGAGATCTAGAGTCTTACCCCCAGCTGGCTATTTGCCTGGCAGCCATAGGCATTTGAGTTTCCATTATAGGAGCCCTTTCAAATACTAGCCTAGATGAATATTAAGGTCTTTTAAATCCAAAATCTCTCTGGCGATCCCATCTAGATTATCAGATAACTAGGAATTTAAGACATTCTTTTTCTTTCTCCTTTAGTCTTGGTTTAGGTGCAAAAATATTAATATTGCAAAGAACAAAAAGGTAAGTGAAATGAACTTATAGTGGATACATACAGTGGATAGGGATTTGATGTACAGTTTCATAGAAGACTTGCCATTATTTGTACCAATGATCAGTTTGATGAGTAGAAACTGTTATGTTAGGACTTTTACTCTCACAGAATGCTCAAGGTTCAGATAGTGAGATTATTGACCTATAAGCCATTGGTTTATGCAGCCTGGACAACCAGTGGACACATTTAAGATGATCATCTGTGTAACCTCAGATAATTGTTGGGCAATCTCTGGTTCACCTTTGCATGCACTTTTTCATTTCTTCTTTTTCTTTGTAATCTTTTCCTTCCCTCTCCTTCTTCTCCCATGTTCCAAAATTTGTTCCTTCTTTACTGTCTTTCACTCTGACCGGACCACTGTAAGCCATTTGTTGGTCTTATTGGTGGCCTTTGGGGCTAAGGACACTGATGATCCTTGGCCTCATAGAACCAGAGGCCAACAGCCTGACACTACCTACCCCTCTGTGCCTCATGAAGAAATGAGAAAATGGTTGCGAGAGATTGAAGAGTATTTGAAAGAATAAAAATTCATATATCCAAAATATCATTAATATGTATTTATTTCAGAAGAATGCCTTTGACTTTGCAAAGTAAGACTCTTCAATACTTTATTTCTCATCAGTAGAGAAATAATATTTATAAAAGTATTAAAAATAACTGACCTTTGAGCTTCTGCTGTAGCACACATTATAAAATAAGTCTGAAACAAACAAAGTATACATATAGATATGTTATTTTGACAGTTGAAAGTATCAGAGAAGACAATCTGGACTAATCACAGCATCAGTGAATCTTAGAGCCACAAGAACCCCTAGGATGGTCCAATTCACAATCCTACGAGATTCCTGACATAACAAAGCTATTCAGGCCATACAGGCTTTGCTTAGATTCCTCTAGTGTCAGGGAGCTCATTCTCCTGAGGCCCTTGTTTTAAGAAACTTTAAGTTTTACATGAAGAAAAATCTATCTCCTTGTAACATCCATCCATTATATCTAGTTTTGATTTTTGGAGTAACGGAACCAGTCCATTCACTCTTTTATATTACAGATTCAGGGGAATTTGAATACCTATCTCCCCAGGAATGCAGAACTCCATGCTTTTCCCCAAACATCAATATTAAACAAGGTACAGGGTGTACAATAATTACCTCACTTAGGGTTTGCAGGGTTTTGTTGAGCTCTGTTCGTCTGTTAATGAGAGAAATTGACATGAAGAAGACCATTGCTGATACTAAATTCAAAACAAGTTAGATTTTTAGCAAATACATTAAGCATATAGTATTTATTGCTTGCAGTGTTCACTTTGAAGAAACACTGGGTATAATAAGAGATTCCTACGTGGGAAAAAAATAAATTACTTATATGACAAGGGAAATTGACCAGACAGAAGCTGTATTGGTACTAGCTAACAGTTGCAAGATAGAAATAATGGTTGAACAATCTTGTTATTCATTAGGCTACTGTATCTCTAAGGCAACTTCAGGCAGAAGGCCAGAGGAGCTGGCTGGCCTGAGGCAAGATTTCTGAGACAGGCCAGCCAGTCACCCTGGAGGCCCTGGGCCTCTGATTTCTTCCTCATCCCCTCTCCAACTGACCCTGCCTGCCCTCTAGCACTCTCCAGCCCTGCCTTCCCCTCCCCACAACTCCTCTTTAGGAATTTCCCTCATTCCTCTCCTCTAATCTTACTCCAACAACACTTGTATTTCTTAAATGTGGCAGAGCTTCATGTGAGGTTAAGATGAAAGAAGTCTAGTTTAAAAATTCACTTTAAGGCAGTAGTTCTCAACCTGGGTCGACTCTGCCTCCCAAAGGACACCTGGCAATATCTAGACACATTTTTTTCCTTGTTGCAATTGGGGGTGGGGTGCTATTGGCATGTAATGGGTAGAGACCAGGGATTTGTTACACATCCTACTATGTACAGGACAATCCCACACAAGAAGAAACTATCAGACCCAAAATGTCAATAGTGCTAAGGTGGAGAAACTGTTCTCCAAGGAACTGGCACTAATTCTAGGTGGCTCCAGGGAAGGTCTGGAGGGAAGAAGGGAAGGATGGTGGCAATAGTAGTCAGTTAACTTTTTGATTTGGCAGGCGCCTCTCCTCCATAACTATGCTCAGAGGCAACCTTCTTTCTGGGTGTTTCCCTGGCCACTCCAGTCATGTCCAATCTGCTCTATATTCAGGTACTTAGAACATCCTTTGGTGCCCCGTTCATGTCACCTGCATCGTAGGAATCATACTGTAGTCTTATCATTTGTTCCCATCTTGCATCTTTCCTACCAGACTCCAAACTCCCTCAAATGACCTCATGCTGGAACCACCAGGGAAGCACTTAAGAATGCTCATGGTCCCCAAATACTGATTTAATTGGTATGGAGTGTGCCTGGGCATCAGTGTTTTTAAACATTCCTAAGTAATCTTAATATGCAGCCTAGTTTTCCATTTCAGAGAGTTGAGCTTATCATCATTTGTATCCCCGAGGCCCAGCGCATAGTAGGTGCTGAACAAATGCTTGGTAGCTTTAAATGAACTCATCTCTATTTCAACTCTAATAATTAAGATGAATTACAAGTATGCTAAGTTGTATTCTATTTGTAAATTTGTGGGTTTAAAAAATGTTTCTTATCACTATTATTACCCATCTAAAGTTTAAAATCCTTCTAGGACATTGATTAATTATTTCACATATGTACTTTGAATAGTTAGAAAAGCTAGATTTTCATCAGAAGGAGAGAAAAATGGGCACATAAAGGACATGAACAACACCTCAGCCCATTTCAGTTCTCACTATAACTTTTTGCCACTATAAACTCAGAAGAAATCTAGGAATATTTGATATCTACCAGGTGGAATCATGAATGATGTTCCTTTCTACCTAGGATGTTCAGCCTTTTGGCATCTCTGGGCCACACATTACATATGCAAACACTAATGAAAACAAAAAAAACTCATAATGTTTTAAGCAAATTTACAATTTTGTGTTCGGCCACATTTATAGCCATCCTGGGCCACAGGTTGGATGCCCCTGAGTCCTAGGCATTGCTGAATCATCAGAAGCAGCCAGGTCAAAATGCTAATTAAAGGGTGTGCCTTAAGAACAGTCTTGTTTTGTTTGCTTTGACCTAGGAAAGATTTTTCTCTTCAGTGTCATCACAGACACTCCCCAGAGCTCTTGAATTTGATTAAAAGTTTATAAAAACTTCATTTGAGAGGTAGTAGGAAAATTGAGTAAATGAATTTCATCTCTGATGCTGTTTCCCTGCCATGAGGGCAAAGACATGAAGTTTCCCCTCCCAGTGGACAGGGTGAGAATGTCCTGGCTTAGGCCAATGTGCTGGCCCACATTTTGATCTGTGTCTAACTGGGGACATCTATTTGTAAACTGAGGTGTAACAGACAAACACTTCTCTGTGGCTTTTCAATCACTGATGCTTCATGAAAGCATGAAGAAATGAAGTGTTACCTTGAACTCTTCTTTCAACCTTGCTGGCTACCAAATCATATTACTCAAATACTAATTCAAATAGAGGTAATTTCATAGCATCAACAAGAACAGCCTCACAAGGATATTAAGTGGTGACAAGTGATTATGGTTATAGTTTGCAGAGAACTCAAGAGCCACTTCTCTATAACCTTTAGGTCTCTTTCCTATTCTCAGTTTCCAAAAGCAAAGATAGCTCATTAAATATCTTTTTATAGTTGATGCCTTAAGTTTTAAATCAAACAATAGATTACTCACTTTAATTCACTTAGAGACAGGACTCCAGTTAAGGTGCCATTAGCCATATTTTGATTCTGTTAGGAACACAAAATCATTAAGAATACAACAAATATTCATTTTTTAAAATACTCTCTAACAAGAACTTGTTCTTTAGTTTTGTCAGCCACCTAAAGAACTGCTCCCTAAATACTGAATACTAACTGCAAACAGTCAAATCCATATAGACCGAGCCAGTTTTTGTTTTCTTTTAAAAATATTATGAATCGACAATTGCGATGTGCTAATTTCTGTCTTTTGTTATTCCATTCTGTCTTTTATTACTACCCCCAAGAAACCCTATTAAAGCTCTCTACATGAAAGGTCCCAGATTCAAGTAAAAGACCCCAATGTAAAAAGGGAAACTTGATAGCAGTCATCACTGCATTTCTTGAACCTAGCTCACTGCTTGGCACATAGTAGGTACTCAGTAAATATTCACTGAATGAACAGACCATGTGTAACTGGGATCTCCTGACCCAACCTATGTTATGGAAGGCTGATACTACTATATCTGAAACCCTCATAGGGTGAAGAGGATCAATTTCAGAAGACTGACTCAATATATACATCTTCTTGATAGGAGTTTCTAATATAATTTTACATTTTGACTGGTAATAGAATTACATCATATAAAAATTCAGCAGCAAACATAGTGAAAACTAAAATATAATTATTAATGAAATACCATGATTATTATAAAGTCAAGCCCTCTTAGCTAGGGAGTTAAAAACTAAATTTATTTAAATTTGCTCATAAAAGTAAATAAATATTCCAAATATCATAAATCTGAGCCTTAAACAAATCCTTGACCACACATGAATTCATTTTTTATGATTGTAATAAGAAAATCTTTAAAACCCACCTGAGTAAGATTGCTTTCTTCATCATAGTGAAACATTATCTCAACTCTAAAAAATGCTAAAAATAAATTTTTAAAAAGAAAATTAAGACTTGAATCTGTAGAGATCAAGTATTAATATAACATAAAAAGATTATCAAATTACTTTATAAACAAAGTTTCATCAAATGCTTTGCTGTTATTCACATTTACTCTTTCCTATGAGAACTGCTGGCCACCTCCTGGGCTGCTCCTCGGTACACCACTATCCCAGGTCTGCCTTGCTGGTTCAGCCCTCATCCCTGGAGTCACCACCTCTGTTGCCTCTGCTCCCAATCCTGTTCTCTTCTGGTGTGGAGTCCCAGGAGCATTGCGTGGGCACTGGGCATGCACACATGGGCAGCCGTGCCAGAGCCTGAGGGGCAGCTATGGTGCTGAGCTTCACCAGGCTGCCGTGTGCCATGCTGGGCACCATCATGACTGTACAGGTGCCCTCCATCATCAAGCAGTGGGTCTGCAAAAATGTTCACATTGACCCGAGTAGCCTGTCCTTTGGCAAGTGGAAGGAGATCCAAGTCCCTTTTCTACCTCTCCATCTACTTCTTCAATATCCTCAACCACAATGAGATCCTTCAGGACAAGAAGCCACAGGTGTGGGAGCACTGTCCATACATGTACAGTGAGTTCTGGCACAAAGGCAATATCGCCTTCAGTGACAATAGTACAGTATCTTTCCCTGAGTACTGCAACTTCCAATTCCAGTGACAAATCTAGCGGCTTGGAGAGCAACCACATCATCATGCCCAGTGTCCTGGTGCTGAACACAGGAGTGATTATGCTGACCTCGTCCTGGCAAAAGCAGTGCTGGGCCTCCACCCCAACAAGAAAGAATATTTCCTGTTCCTGGACATCCACCCAGTCACAAGAATCCTCATAAGCTGTTCTGTGAAGCTTTAGCTCAGCTTCTCATCAAGACTGTCAAAGGCATCAGACAAACCCCAAAGATTGAGCCAGTGGTCCTGCCACTGATATGGTTTGTGGGGGAGAAATGCTATTTATTTTGGAGTAGTAAAAAGGGCTAAAGGGATGAGGAGGCCATGCATGCCTGTTCTGAATGCCTGATAACATCAGCTCCCAAGGGGACTGTTCTGCATGAAGCAAGACTGTAGGGTCCTGGAGATGCCGAGAGCCAGCCTACCCAGCCACTCAGCCAGACTGGCTATACCTTGCTTCTTCAGGACTTTCTCAGCAAATAGCCAGCCAGTCGCAAAGTTTGAGCCTTCCAGTTACCATACATGTGTGTCTGTGCATTGCTCACAACCCCAACACATGTATGCATATGTGTGTGCAGGTCTACACAGACATACTCAGGGATGGAGATGTGTGTGTGTGTGTACGCATCAAAGACAGGCTTGCCAACAGGGACTGTTCAGGAACCTTCTCTCCAAGGCACTCACAGGTGCTGTGGGCACTGGGTCCTCTCCTCCCTGGGGTGAGCCCGTTCAACTATTGGGCCACTTCTCCCAGTTGCTCTCTCCATCAGTTTGGACACACTGCAGCCCCCACATGGTCACTTACCCAGCAGGACAGGGCTTTTACTCCAAAGGGCTGGCCACTGTCCTGATACCCAGCCCAGGAGTGCAGACTTCTTGTGTCAAAGTCAGGTGGGCAGGGTCTAGCTGAGACCCAGAGCTTTGCCCTCTATGCACCCATCTGGACTGAGGGGACAGCTCCTTCACACAGACCTCAGAAAGCAGGGTGAGTGAGAGATGCCCTGTATGGCTGTCCTGTCTCCTCACCCACTACAGGACTTTGATCTCTCTGAAGTCTACACAGCACTGGATTTGGGTGTCTGGGGCCCCTTTCCTCCAGCTAAACTGACATCATCCTGCATAGCGAACCAGCTACTCCCTGGCTAGGTTAGCAGGAGGCTCTGCCCTGAGCTGCCCCCCATAACGGCCCTCATCTTTTAGGTGCCGGGCCAGAGATGGAGAGATCTGAGTTCTGTCAACCTGGGTCAAGTGGGAGACCTGTCTACCTGTAGCTTCTGGTCTGTGGGGTAAATCTCTGTCTCTTTTCTACTAGAAGAATAAGTGAGTTTTATCCTTTTTTAGAAAATAATTCACCACTGAAGTAATAAACCTTTTTAAAAAGTGACGAATACCATATGATCTCACCTATAAGAGGAATCTAATGAACAAAATAGAAGTACAGGCACAGAAACATGGAACAGACTGACAGTGACCAGAGGGGAGGTAGGAGATAATGGTGGAAAGAAGGGGAAGGGACTAAAGAGCATGTATGAATGACCCATGAACATGGACTACAGGATGGGAATTGACTATGGGAGTGGGGGTGGGATAGGCAGAGCAGGACAAAGGGGAAAAATTGGGACAACTGTAATAGAGTAACAATTTAAAAAAATTATCTCTACATTCTTATTATTAAAACTTTGTTTACTTTAAAGATGCTAACTGGGGGAACCATGACTCTAAAGTTAATATTTTTCAAAAAATCTCTTAAAGTTGTTATAATTGCAGTTCCATACATAAGGGAAGAAGGGAAAAGCATTTCTCAGTTTAGCAACCATATTGAATTCCATTTACTCCTTGTTGGTTTTTTTGTTTGTTTGTTTTTCTCTTAAAAAAAATACAGCTACCAAATTCAGTATCTTTCCCAGGAACAAAGTTGGGATCTTGCTTTGAAACCTTAAGAGGGTGCAAAGCAAATCCTTTCTTCAGTTAAAGAACTCATTGGGACTTTCATTCCAGAAATGCCAGAAAACCCTGTTCTTAAATGCTCACTTTGGGTAACACTGAAGTCAATTTCAGTCAACCTATTTCCTGCAGGGTATATTGGAGGGGCTATGCCTCTATCTAGAAACAAATAAAATAGAGACCCCTTAACAGAAGTACATTGTATGTACTTCATAATCTAGAGACAAAAACTTGGCCTCTTGAACAAAAGGATAAGGATGTCATATAAACTAGAGTTGGGCTCAGTCAATTTTTTTGTGTGAAATATCAGACATATAGTAAATACTTGGCGTTTTGTGGGTCATATGGTCTTTGTTGAAACCACTCAAATTTGTGGTTGTACAAAAGCAGCCACAGACAATATGTAAATGAATAGACATGGCTGTATGCCAATAAAACTTACAAAAACAGAAAACAATATATATTTGGACTCTGGGCAGTAGTTTGCCAACTCCTGAGTTAGAGGGTTGAAGTCCTCCTCATCTCTTTTGTTCCACCTCAAATTACAACTGATTCCCATAGCCCAGTTCCCAATGGGCTGCTGCCACGTCGAATGACCAACAGAGCCACTAGACCAGAGATTAACGTGATTTATCTATTTCAGCAACTTTTGTACCAAGAACTTCAACTCTGCATGTTGAAATTGAAATTTCAATGAATACAGCATATAAGTATTTAAAAGTAAAGATTCTTGATATATGGATAGCCTTAGTTATCCATTTTTTAAAGAAATCTTAGCTCATATAAACTAATTTAGTATGTTTGCATGTGTTGACACCCACAATTTCTCTCCCTCGCCTCTCTATTCTCCAAATTTATCCTTCAGTCTTGTTGAGGGCATGTCGAGTTTCATATATGTGCTGGCAGCACAGTGGTAGCAGAGCAACCAGGAAGCTAACAGCTTTTGACCCTCAGCCTAACTGTGACTGGTAAGCTCCCAGTTTCTTCACTAGCCTCCATTTCCTTAATGAACCCAGGTTGGAACCTGCAAGAAGTGAAGGTTTCTAGTTTCTGGCAGGATATCATGATATTTCTGGTGCCAAGAGAGTTGGTCCCCTGATGAGGTTGTTTTCAACAGACACTGAAACAAATGGTCAATTCAGTCATTTAATTAGGGAAAACATTACTCCAACCAGCTTTCTGACATGTTATTCAAGATGACCAGTTTTTTTTTTTTTACTAAATGTTCAATTTTCAAACAGGTATCAAACATCATGTAGACACAACACTAAAGTAGACATTAGTCACCAGTCCAAACATAGATGAAGCACAAAAATAATGAAATTGTGGAGAATGCAGTAAAAGGAGGAGGGGGGAGAAGAGAGAATTATGAATTATATACTATATGAAAGTGAAATGTATCCAGCAGGTTTTTCTTCCTTGAATCAAAACCAGATAATATTTCCCTGCTATATTGTACCTGGAGCAGAAAGCTCATATAAGCAAATCTCACATGCACGCAAATAGAAGATGTCTGTGGAACATTCTTTCAACAGAAAGTTTTCTAAACTCTGCAACCTTAACTTGCTTTACTTGCAACTGTTTCTTATATTTTCCTTTTTTATACATTTTTTAATGTACATTGATTCCATTTACTGAATGCTCCTCTGTTTTTCAAACAAATTATTAACCTGTTAAAGGGAACAGAATAAAAGGAAAACATCCCTATGAGTGTTTTTTTTATATCAATGGAGTCATACTAAGTCTTTAATATTATAAAATATTTCATTACCTTCCTTGGCTCTCTTCCCATGGTCCAATTCTGACCTGTCACACCATGTTTTTCTATTTTCACATCTGCTTTCATTGGTTTCAACAAGGAATGGAGCCCAGAGAGCCAAACCAATGTGAGAAAAAGTGCTTGTTTCATTCCTTCTGGCCCATGGCAGGAGGGAAAATATTCTCATTTCAAAAATAGCATGTTCTTAAGAGATTTCCATCTCAATTTTTGAAATTAGTGGGCAGTCTTTACTACAGATGGCAAAATACACTATGGGCACTAGTGGAATTAGCACCCAATTAACTAGGTGTACATGAGGTTTTCAACATTCTAGTAGAGTGGTTTGTTTTATTTTTAGCAAATTACAATATCCTGTTTCTAAGATGTAATAATACTTAAGGTCCTTTGGAAAAGCTTGAGGGATTTCTACACAAGAAGTGGCTTTCAATAATTAAGTTTATTATTAATTATGTTCATGAATCACCTAGAAGGGACTTAAAGCTATGGTGAAAAATATTTGTTGTAGAGCTTCAGGTTCTCATATTAAAGAAGTTAATCCCTCATTTCACTAGAAATGGGAGGATAATTTTAGCCAGATCTAAAATTGGCTTTTGTTTTCATTTGGGACTCATAGTAGCCAGGTGGTATGAAAAGAGACAGATCAAAGAGGCACACATCACACACTCAACAAGAGAAAAACTATTTTTTCTCTATGAAGCTAATTTATTTGGTTACATAATATGCACAAGAACTAACCTGAGTCATTGCAAATAGATGACAAATTGCAGCTATTTGTCTGGGGTTTGACTCCTGCAAAGAAAACACAACCCAACCAGTTAAGCATGTCAACACATTCACTTGTGTACTACATTGTCAAGAGAATTAATTTAGGCATTAAACGTGGAGCAAAAATATAAGTTGGATATAATTAGCTAGGTGAGTTCCACAAAGACTAAAGGAGTGAGTTTTCATTTCTTACTTGGTTGCTATGGAACTTGATTCTTTACTATTCTTTAGTATGTCAGTGCCTGATCCCCTACTCCTACCTAAAATTTCTTGTCCCATTTCCAATTAATCCCTCTCCTGTCCAATGCAAATGGAACAGTATGAATACAAATTGAGAATAGAGACTTTAAATGAAATACCCTTTACTCTTAGACTCTCCTTTCTTTCTGGATAGGGGAGTACATGAACACTCTAATGCTGGTCTCAGCTCCTTATGTAAATGTATGTATGGAATAATATGAATGTTATGATATCATTTCACATGGGCAAAACCTACAAAATTCAAAAAAATATTTGCTGAGTGCCTACCATATTCTACAGGTTTTGCAAGTTTCCAAATATAGACCTTGGTCTTAATGAGCTTACAATCTAATGAGTGATACTAGCCAGTAAAAAAAAAAAAAGTTATAGTGAGGGCAAAATGCAGTGATGGCCAGGACAACAGATCACACAGGTATACACAGAAGGCAGAGATGGGTGGGAGATGAAATAAGCCACATTAGAACAAAAAACCTCATATATGTTAATCAGAGAAACACTTTCAACAAAGGTGAAAGGAGAAGTACATTTCTTCTTTGGATGAAAGGAATTTAAAGTTTGCTACTATAAGAATCTTTTCTTAATTTTATATTTTTGGTGGAGTATAAGAAGACTGTATGTAATATATGTGAAGGCCAAATGCTGACAATATACTCAGCAAACTGCCAAGGGGAAAAGGTTATTACATTAAGGAATGTTTTTGTATCCTTGTTAGGTCTGGTTTGGTCGCAATTATATACACAATGCCTGATTGCTATTTTATTTCCATTGCATTTTATGAAAGTTTAATTCTTTCCTAAGAGGACTAGTTTGGACACAAACTAAAACTGTAATTTGAGTTAGTGTGTTAGATATGGTTTCTTCCAGAATGATTTAGTTGACTTATGGTGTGTAGGCATCACAGTTCAGCTAAGTTTTGATTCTGTGAGCAAACTGAATTTAGATGCAAAAAGTTACCTGACATGTAGATTTCTATGTTGTTTCACAGCAGTGTTACCCATATCAAAAGAGAAAGATTTCATTTTAAATATACTTGCTTATGGATATAATTCAGGAGAAATATACAATATGCAATTATAGAATATATAGATAGTGGGTACTAATGCTTTAAATGTTTCTTTTTTTAATTTATTTTTTTATTGCATATGCTGTTCCAGTTGTTCTATTCCCCCCCTTCATTCCCCTCCACCCTACCCCCCGTCCCCACCATTACCCCCTTTAGTTTATGACCATGTGTCTCAAGTTCTTTAGATTCTATATTTCCCATACTATTCTTGCCTCCCCATCTATTTTCTATCTACTGTCTATGCTACTTATTTTCTGTACCTTCTCCCCCCTTCTCCTCCTCCCACTCCCCCTGTTGCTAACCCTCCTTGAGATCTTCATTTCTATGTTTCCACTCCTGATCTAGCTGTCCTTTTAGTTTGCTTTTGTTTTAGGTGTGGTTGTTAATAACTGTGAGTTTGCTGTCCTTTCACTGTTCATCTTTTTTTAATTTCTTTTTCTTAAATAAGTCCCTTTAGCATTTCATATAATAAGGGCTTGGTGATGATGAACTCCTTGAATTTGATCTTATCTGAGAAGCACCTTATCTGTCCTTCCATTCTAAATGAAAGTTTTGCTGGATAGAGCAATCTTGGCTGTAGGTCTTTGGATTTCATGACTTGGAATACCTCTTTCCAGCCCCTTCTTGCCTGTAAGGTCTCTTTTGAGAAATCCGCTGACAGTCTGATGGGGACTCCTTTGTAGGTGACTGTCCCCTTAGCTCTTGCTGCTCCTAGGATTCTCTCCTTCATTTCAGTTTTGGCTAATGTAATGATGATGTGCCTTGGTGTATTTCTTCTTGGGTCCAACTTCTTTGGGACTCTCTGAGCTTCCTGGATTTCCTGGAAGTCTATTTCCTTTGCCAGATTGGGGAAATTCTCCTTTATTATTTGTTCAAATAAGTTTTCCACTGGTGGCTCTTCCTTTCCCCCTTCTGGTACCCCTATAATTCGGATGTTGGAGTGTTTAAAGATGTCCTGGAGGTTCCTAAGACTCTCCTCATTTTTTTGAATTCTTGCTTCTTCACTCTTTTCTGTTTGGCCATTATTTGCTTTCTTCTGGTCCACTCCATTGATTTGAGTCCCAGTTTCCTTTTCATTGCTCTTGGTTTCCTGTGCAATTCCATTCATTTCAATTAGTTTCGCCTTCATATGTTTGTCTAATTTGTGGCTATAATCAACCAGTTCTGTGAGGATCTTGATCACCAGTGTTTTAAACTGTGCGTCTGAGAGTTTTGCTATTTCTTCATCACTTAGATATACAGGCTCTGGGGCTTTGAGATCTTCTTGAGCCATTTTTGGTCTGTTTGCGCCCGTTAAGTACGAGGAGCAGAGCCTTGGACTCCCAGGTCGCTGGGTTGTGATGCTGTATGTGGAGGCGGGGTCAGAGCGGGGAAATGGCGGCGCCCTCCGCTGCCACTTGCCGCTGGGGCTGCTGGCTCTCGTCCAATTGCCCACTCCCTCGCTTGTCTATCCACACATGAATGAGCGACCATTGTCAATCCGCAGCCCTGCTCCCTCGCTGTTTCCCCGCGGTTGCTTGCTGAGTTGCCCACCAGGTCCAAACCTGCGCCTGGATTCCACGCGCCTGAGTCCGTCTGACCAAGTTTTCCTGTGCAACCCCGCTCTGCCAGCTGCTGGTTTCACCCCTCTTACCAGTCAGGCTGAAGAATTTGTTGTTATCAGACTTCCGAAAAGTTCTATTTTCTGTGTTCTGACTGTGTTTTCTGTTGCTATTATTTAGTTGTCTCTAAACTTGGTTGTGTGAGGAAGCACGGCATCTCCACCTATGCCTCCTTCTTGGCGGAAGTCTCTAAATGTTTCTTACAACTATCAGTCTATTGCTTACTAAGCTTTTCATTCTATCACATCTCATATTTTTCTAAATTTTAGTGGCACCTGCATTTCCAGTGATGTGTGCCTTTTGCTGCTTATTCATACTGAGAATTTTCTATTGCTAGGGCTGTTATCTGTAATTTCTCCCAAATACATGGTCACAGGTTGTCCTTTAAATCATGAGTGAGAAAACTTTGTCTGTAAAGGATCAAATAATGAATACTTTTTGGGCCATAAGTCCTCCTCGTAAATACTCAACTCTGCCATTCATTGTAATGGAAAAGTAGCCATAGACAATATGTTTTTTAAAGAAAAGGCCATGGGTGGTGTGGCTCAGTGGATTGAGTGCTGGCCTATGAACCAAAGGGTTGCTGGTTTAATTCCCAATAGGGGTGCATGCCTGGGTTTTGGGCCATTTCAGGCCCCCAGTAGGGGGCATGCAAGAGGTGACCAGACATTGATATTTCTTTCCCTCTCTTTCTCCTTCCCTTCTCCTCTCTCTAAAAATAAATAAATAAATAAAAATGTTTTTTTAAAAATGAACATGGCACTTTTTCAATAAGACTTCACTTACAGAAAAAAAAAAAGAGGTGGATTGACCCATAGGTCATAGTTTGTCAGCCTCTGCTTTAAATCAACCCGAAACCTTTGTTAAGCATATCATGTATACCTAGTCTTGCTAAGTACCTAAAAGCACATTCCCCCACTTTTTAATTTAAAAAGAGATTGAAATTCACTTCTTTAAGAATATTTTGTTCATATACTGCATCCCATTGATAATCGTTAGCCCTTCTATCTCCCATGCATCTTAACCATGTCAGAAGCACTTGTGTAATCATTGCCTTTATCTGCATACAACACGTTCATGTTAATTATCTGTTTGCCTTATCTCTCTTCACAGACTAGAAAATTCTTAAGGGAGGGGATTTTGTCTGGTCATTGCTATTATAGCCCCAAACATTTAGTACAACTTCAAGTACCCAGTGCATAAACATCTATTCAGTAAGAACAGATTTCATTTTTAAAAGGTAGGACAAAAGAGAAAGAAAACATTAACATCAGCCATTTGTTTTATTTTACTTTAGTTATAAAAAGGAAAGTCTTGATATTGATGTCATACCCGATACATTGAAGGTTTTTACCCTAGTGATTTTAGTTTTTTCTGTAAAGAAGCAATTTAAACATTAGAGCAGAATTGTTTCTTATTTTTAAAGAACAATTTGCCATGAGTATTTTACTCATTTACTCTTACTATTTTACTATTTTAAATAGTAAATTTTACTATTTACTCTTAGCATTTTAGTGAAGTGCTAAGAAAATCATACTGTTGATACCTTTAAGACATTATTGGTCATCTCAGCATAATGAATGGGAATCACATACACAGATCATACAGCATTGGCACAGTGTGGGTCTGGAAATTAGATTCCTATGTTTACCCAGTTAGATCACACCCATTACACACCCCACTGCTTGTGTAATTCTACTGCAGTTTCCATGCTCTGTTGCTGCTAGACAAATTAATGAGGACTTAACACTAGACATGTAGAATTAAGTCACTATCAGGACCTTTAGATAATAGATTATTATAAAGATGAGGTGATTCAGAATAAAAATGGAAGCAGTAAACACAGCATCTAAAATAATGCTACTATACTCTACAATCAAGTGTCCTGCTATTTTCTCTAGGAGTTAATACAATATTATTCCCATCATATTGATAGATACAATTATTCTCAGAGAGGTTGAAACTATCCAACTAAAGTCATACAATAAGCTCACAGCAGAACCGGGACAGAACTGTTGTAAATCAATGATTCAAAGGTGAATATTAACACATTCTGAAGAAGCAAACTTTAGAAATATCTTCCCAACACATTTCAGGGACAGCGCCCAAGGTTAATTTCCCAGATAATGGAGAACCAGGTTCAGAAATCCTGGCTATCAGGATGGCCAATAAGAAGAGGCTGTGTTCCAGGCACAGATTTACAAAGAAGCTCTGTCTCCTAGGTTGAGTGGGAAATTCTGAAGATAACACAAAGCTCAGATCTTAGAGAAGCACTTAAGAATGATGTTACACTGACAGTTTCAGAAACCTCATCTGTGTATGTGTTATTAATGAGTTTCTGTTTCAGTGTGACTGACCCATGGGCAATGATTGGTCGTAATTATAGAGGCTGATAGCATTCTGTATTGTCATGAAGAATCCTTTAAATACATTATTTTGTTTGCCCTGAGACTTTCCTTCCCAGAGCGAACAAGATACAACTATAAAATGAGCTTCCGGTTTTAGTAACAAAAGTGCTTTGTGGGAAAATGTTCAATCTCACAATAATCAAAAATGTAAAGTATAACCAAAGAAGTTGAGAGAAAATTTTAAATATATGATACAGACTCAGCTCTCAGCAAAGGCACAGTGACACAGACATTCTTAGCCACTATTGGCAGAAACGTTGCTCGGTACTTCTAGAGAAGTAATTGGGCAGTAGGTATCAAAGGCCTTAAAATATAATAATGCTGACCCATTAAATATAGTCCTTAGAGTGCATCCTATGGAAATCAGGGACAAATGCAAAGATGTGGGCACAGGGTATTTAATGCAACAATTTCTATTTAAAAAGTATAAACAGCTCTAACGGTCAACATATGATACACAATGGAATATTATCAAGTCATTAAGAGTAAAGGACACTAGAAAATACTTATAACTTAATATGAAGTCAAAAGGGTGAGATTTAATAATCTAGGTTAAGTATGACAGTGTATATGTACAGATAATACTGAATAGAAATATACCAAATTATTAACAGTAATAGCCTTAGGAAAGTAACATTAAAGATGAATTATATTTTCTTTGTATTTTCTGTTCTCCATTTTTGTGAGCAAAGATATATTACTATTATACTAAAAATATTATTTTAAATGGAGTGCTATGGCCATAGCAATTTGGAAGATCTAGACTGTAGTAACACCAGAATTACAGTTCAAAGTCAAAGTAAAATGAGTACTAAATCAACAGTTGAAGGCACAGGAAGTGGGCAAGGAAATAACCTTTGCTAATCCAAAAGATCACTTCAGTCAGAAACTCAAGAAGCCACAGAGAAGACAACTATTGTATTTAGAAATAACGTGGTATTACCTGTGTTGTTTAAAGTAGATAACATGGTTGAAGTAGTATCTGAAATAAAATAATAAAAATTAGCCTAAGTATTGGCATGATTAATAAATACATGCATCTTTCTAGGTTCCTTGAACATTTCACTTTTCCCCAAATCCTAGGGAAATTAGAGTTTTGCAAAAGCCAACTGACATTCCCAAATGAATTTGTTGCCCATCCCCTCAACACACTATCCATTCTTCAATCCCTAGAGACAATTCCTGAGCAAGTATTTATTCATTCATTCATTCATTCATTCATTCATTCATTCAAAATGTGTTTCCTAAATACAAATTGTGTCTAAAACATAGCAACCCTCCTTAATTATTAGATTTAAAATAATCTCATTTATGTAGTTTTATGGTTTCATATTTTATCTCTCTTTTTCTCTATTACAATGAAAGTCTCTAAGGGATATGATATTTTCACAGTTAATACTAACTTTAATAGATAGTCCCATGGATGCTTAATATATTTTTACTTAATGTAGTTTACTCTTATAAAAGTCATTCTAGTTTAAATTTGGAATTCTTGAACATTATATTCAACTAACTTTTCAGAACTATTATTTTCATCTTGTTTCACTTAAAATCCAATTTTAAATCTATTCCATTGGTATTTCTTTAACAAAAAGCATTTGAGAATTTATTATTCCTGATGAAACTTTAGGGGGGGAAAGGCATGTATTACACTATCACACTTTTATCCACATAAAATGGGATTCAAAAACTACTGCCAAAGCTATTTTGAATATGTTCTTTCACTGTAAAAAGGAATTGCACATAAAAATGATAATGTCTTGCCCTTCCCTTTGGACCAAAATTGAATTTAAACCAGTTTCCATCAGTGTGAGCTGCATCTACAATTATTTAGCTCCTTAACTTCCAACCACATGGTGAGATCTTATTTTAACTAAGGAATTGTGAAAAGTACTGGGTTTCGACTGCAATAAGATGGAAGGCTGTCTACCCACAAAGGGGAGGGAACAGAATGTGCTGCCTGCCCACTCCTCTCAAATATTGCCCAGTTCTTTGCCCTTTTTGCAAGCTTAATGTAGCCAATTTTCTTTTTATTTCATACTATTTTTAAATCGATAAAATCATCTGCAAAAAGGCTGTTTTTGAACACTCTGTACCTCCAAAGGCATGCTGAATCATATTGAAGTCACTGGATGTACTTTTCACATTTAAGCAACCTGTCATATAAAATGTGTTGGTATTGTGTTGGTGAGCAAGTGAAATAGGGCACTCAAAGTGTGATCAACATATCTTTTCTTTTACAGAACAGAGTGATGGAGGACTGTCTTCTCTCTATGATAATAAGAATTTTATTATTTAATCAGGACGTTTAAGTTGCTCTCCAGGGCTGAAAGGCTTGGGGATTTTGCGGGTTTTTCTTTTTGTGTTTTTCGTATATGGAAACTTTCAATAACATCCATTATACTTAATATTTGTATTAAGGGTTATCAATTTTCACTTGCTTCAGAAAAATTCTTACCATTTAGGCCTGTAGTTTCAACCTCTTTTGTTCCGAGGAAAGAAACAATACAAAGATATAATTAAATTAAGAACTTAACAAATTGGGCTAAATCTAGGTTTAAATTTTTTCAAAATCTTGCCTGAAGTACCATTAGGGTAGGAGACAAAACCAATAACTGAATCAGCTGCTGGGAAAAAAAACACAAATTTTTCAAATTAATATTTTGAAACATTTATTATATTTTAAGAAGTTAGAACATTTGAGCTATCATCATGAAAAGAAGTGGAAAACATTCTACGACACCAATATGTAATTAAATCTGCAAGGCCTATAATCACCTAGTATACTTTTAATTGTAAAGAACCCAACTGTCTCATTTTCAGATGAAGAACCCAAGACTCATTATCACAAAGCCTGGTCCTACTTATGGAATATTATGGAAATAAATTTACGAGCCACAACAAAATATGAGGTATACTACTTTCAAATATTTTTCAGCCAGAGTTTTCTAGAAAACATTTTATACTTTAAATGGTTTGTCAAACTACAATTATGAAAGATATTGGTACATTGGCTTCATTCGGTTATAATGATGACTGGCAATTCTTCTCATAGGGAATTCAGGATTTAAAAAAAACTGCTACCACTTAATATTGTACTACCTAACACAATTTCCTGGTAAGTTATTTTAAAGTTATACATTTACCATGGAATAACTCTAGCTTAGGCTAAGGGATCAGTCTACTACATACATTTTACTTGTTGAAATATTAAAAAGATCCCATGGCTTGATCTCTATATATACACAGGAAAAGTAAACACAAACATTTTACAACTTAAACTTTGCAGTGGGGAGCCTGATATTTAGCCTGTAAGGACAACATTTGGGTGTGTCAAGTTGCTTGGCTGGTCTGTCTGTTTTAGACTGCTCATGCCTTGACTGAAATACACACACCCTGTCTGTCCTACATTATTCATCCCATATTTTGTCATTTACTACATTTTTTTATTACCAATGACATTGCTTCAGAAGTAAGTTCCTGAGCAGTAAGATTCAAAGTGTGGATATGGAATCCCTTGCTCCTGTGGCAGAACAAAATACTTGGCCAAATTTGGTGCTTAATTAATGACTATCAGTTTTGCTAAGTGTCGATGATTGATGAAGCCATCTAAAGAAGAGGTCTGTGGGTATAGCTGTCCCTGATGTACACTGGCTCTTACCTTCCAGTTAGTGCAGCTCTCCCCCAGGGCACCCAGAACCCAAGCTGTAACTGGAATCAGTGTGTCCCTCCAATGCTCCATATTCCATTCCATACAAACAAGATTTTGCAAAGATATCACTATGATTAAGTCTGATGAGGGCTATTGTACCAGAAGAAAAATACAGTGGTTTATTTTACTCTAGAAGCTTCGCAATGAAGGGACAAAATGGCAAAGTAAAGAGAGCTTGGGGATTTGGAGACTTTCAGTCTTGGGCATGAATCTTTGCCCCATTTCTTACTAACCCAGAATAATGATAGTACTTATTGAGGGTTTACTCTGTGCCAGGCACATGTATTATCTCATTACATCTTCACAGTTACCCCATGAAACAGGTACTGTTATTCTCCCTAATTTACAGGTGAAGAAACTGAGGCACAGAAAGGTGAAAGAACTTGCCCAACATCACACAGCTAGCAAATGAGGGTAGGAGCATGGCAGCTGAATTCAAACCCAAGTAGTCTGGCTCCAGAGAATGTGTGAACATGAACAAGTCTTATCCTCTCTGACCCTCAGTATTTCATCTCTAACATGAATATAATGATTCCTGTGCTGCAAGATTAGAGGCAAAATGAGATGTCTGAAGACTTCCAGGCATGTAGTATGTTCTAAGAAGTAATAGCTATTATTATTTTGTTTAATTAGTAACAGTAGAAGCTCACTTTCACACAACGAGGAATAGAGTGTTAGTTGACTCACTCCTTACCACAAAAGATTGTTTTGTAACATATGGTATACCAGAAAGAACACAGAAGTAGGAGTCAGAGAAGACATCTCTGTGTGGTGTGGGGCAAGTACTGTGTGACCTTAGACAAGTTACTCAGCTGCTCCAGGCTTCATGTCATCAACTAAGGGATGGGGCTGGACCACTTTATCCCTGAGGTCCCATTCCAGCTAGTAGTCTCGAATGCAGGTTCTGTTCCTGGTTCCTGCCAAGATGGGTCTTGGTTATAAATTTCTCTTTAATGTATTTGTCTTCCCATTCTTATGAGTACTAAGCCCTTAGAAGCCTTTTGAAACTATATTCATTCAGTGAGGCTACTGAGGAAATTTAAGATGATATCTCATCCCTCAAATTTAAGAACATTCAGCATGTTTATGTTCTTGATGCTCTTCTGTAGACTTGTGAACTAGAATACTAAAAATAACACCAAAGAACTTAAGCAGTTACCATAATGAAAACCCACAATTTACTCCCCAACTTTGTCCAGCAATGTGTGGGAACAATATGCATGTCCGCCTGTGTTTGCTACTGACTTTTCAGGTATAGGTTTAATGACAGAATGTAACATAACTAAGCTTCATGGAAAAAAAAACAATTTTGCTGTATCTGACTACCTGCCATATTGCATGGAGAACTTTTGGAATTTTTCCTAAAATTTCCCAAAGTCATGAAATAACAGTCTTACCAAATAGTGGTAACAAGCTGGAATTATCAGCATTCTCTGTTGAAGAAAAAGGTGATTTAAAATTACCTAAGGAATGTAAAGGAAAGAATAAACAAATGGGATCTCATCAAAATAAAAAGCTTCTGCATGGCTAAAGAAAACAGTATTAAATTAGCAAGACAACCAACTGTATGGGAAAACATATTTGCCAATGATACCTCAGACAAAGGTTTAATCTCCAAAATATACAAAGAACTTACACGACTCCACTCTAAGAAGACACCCAACCCAATTAAAAAATGGGAAAAGGACTTGAACAAACACTTCTCCAAGGAGGACATACAGAACATTCAGAGACACATGAAGAGATGCTCAATATCGTTAGCTATCAGAGAGATGCAAATTAAAACCACAATGAGATACCACTTTACACCAGTCAGGATGGCTATCATAAACAAAGCAACAAACAACAAATGTTGGAGAGGTTGTGGGGAAAAGGGGACCTTAGTTCACTGTTGGTGGGATTGCAGACTGGTACAACCATTATGGAAAACAGTATGGAATTTTCTCAGAAAAATAAAAATTGACCTGCCTTTTGACCCAGCAATTCCACTGCTGGGATTATATCCTAAGAATCCTAAAACATCAATATCAAAGAACCTATGCACCACAATGTTCATAGCAGCACAATTTACAATAGCCGAGAGTTGGAAGCAACCTAGGTGCCCATCAGTAAATGAATGGATCAAAAAATTGTGGTACATATACACAATGGAATTGTATGCTGCAGAGAGAAAGAAGGAGCTACTACCTTTTGCAACAACATGGATGGAACTGGAAAGCATTATGCTGAGTGACAAAACTAACAAGCAAGCAGAAAAAAAAAAAAACAAAGGCACTGAAATAGAGAACAAGGGGATAGTGACCAGAGGGGAGAAGGAAGGGAAGTTAAGGGGGAAAAGGGGGAGGGATTTGGAGGAACAAATAGGAAAGACACAGGGACGAGAACTAAGGGGGGTGGAAATGGGAGGGAGGTGGGGAGCAAGGGGCGGGGGAGGCTGGGATGGGAAAAATAGACAAAAAACTGTACTTGAAAAATAACTAAATAAAATTAATTTTAAAAATTACCTTAGTTTCTGCATAAATTTGTAAGAGAGTAACATCTTTAATGGGAGTGAATGTAAAATGAATTATAAATAGCTACCAAAAGAGGGCAGTGTGTTAATTTGCTATTATTTTCAACAGCCTAATCAGTACTTTTCAGTTCTCTACAAAGACGTATCTCTGATATAGCAATCTTCCAATTTAACTATTGATGGTACTCTATATATTTTGTTATATAATGGTTTATGACATTTTAAACTAAAAGTGATGACTAAGAACTATACTTGGTTTTGCTAACATTCATTACAATTTGTAAAAATAAATTTATACATTTGCATAAATTCAACTTCCATTAACTGTGCTTCTTTTTATACCTATTAGCACAGACTTTATACCTTTTAAGCTACTTCTTTCTTATGTGTTAAACTAGATCAGATGCCTCTGTGTGTATAAACTACAAGAACTGCTGTATTCCTTAAAAGAAAAGTAATTCTATTTTTTCTCTATGAAAAATAATACACACTTATTGGAGAAACTTCAGAAATTACAGATAGACAAAAAGAAGAAAATTAGAACCACCTATAATTTCACCACCCAGAGATAAATGACATTAACATTTTGATATATATTCTTTTCTCTGTATTTCTATGTGCACATGCATATCTACATATGTATATGTAGATATGCATTATATATATATATATATATATATATATATATATATATATATGAAGGACCATATCACATAAGAAAGACCATATCACATAGACTATATGTAACCTGATTCTTCTCTGTGTACCCAGAGAAGTTAGTAACTTGTTGGCCTAATTTAATTGGAATTGCCTCTTCTTAGTCTCTGCCCTTCAGTATATACCTCATTTTACTTTAATATTTCCATCAGTCAAAGAGCCTGTTAACAGGAGTTTAATTTTTAAAATCCTTTAACCAGACTCATCAAGAAAAAAAGAGAGAGGATCCAAATAAATAAAATCAGAAATAAAAGAGGAGAAATAAGAAATTACATCACAGAAATACAAAGAATTATAAGAAAATATTGCAAACAGCTATATGCCAACAAATTAGACAACCTGCAACAAATGGATAAATTCCTAGAAACACAGAATCTCCAAAAACTGAATCAAGAAGAAACAGACAATCTGAACAGACAAGTCACAAGTAATGAAATTGAAGCAGTAATAAAAAAAAACTTCCAACAAACCAAAGTCCTGTACAGGATAGCTTCACAGGTGAATTTACCAAACATTTAAAGACCTAACACCTCTCCTTCTCAAACGATTCCAAAAAACTCAAGAGGAGGGAGGACTCTCAAGCTCATTTCATGAAGCCAACATTATCCTAATTCCAAAATTGGATAAAGACACTCTAAGAAATTTATAGGCCAATATCCCCGATAAACATAGATGCCAAAATCCTCAACAAAATATTGGCAAACTGAATCCAGCAATGCATTAAAAAGATCATACACCATGATTAAGTGGAATTTATTACCGTGATGCAAGGTTGACACAATATCTGCAAATCAATTAATGTGATAAACCACATAAACAAAATGAAGGATAAAAATAATATCATTTCAATAGATGTATAAAAAGTATTAGACAAAATTCTGCCACCATTTACAATTAAAACTCTCAGCAAACGGTGAATAGAGGAAACATATCTCAACATAATAAAAGCCATATATGATAGACCTACAGCTAACATCTTACTCAATGGGGAAAAACTAAGAGCATTTCTCTTAAGATCAGGAACAAGACAGGGATGTCCACTTTTACCACTCTTATTCAACATAGTACTGTAAGTTCTAGCCACAGCAGTCAGATAGAAAGAGGCAACAAAGGGTATTCAAATTGGAAAATAAGAAGAAAAACTGTCATTATATTTGTAGATCACATGGTACTGTATAGAAAGAACTCTAAAGAATTCACAAAAAGAACTACTACAACTGATAAATAAATTCAGTAAAGTAGCAAATTACAAAATAGTATCTAGAAATAGATTGCATTTTTATACACCAATAAGTATCAGAAAGGGAAGCTAAGAAAACAATCCCATTTACAATTTCATAAAAATATAGAAATAAAATACCTAGGAATAAATTTAACCAAGGAGGTAAAAGAAAATTACTGTACTTGGAAAATTACAAGACACTGAAGAAAGAAACCGAAGATACAAATAAATAGAAGGAGGGATGATAGGGGGGAAAATAAATGGAAGTATATATCATGGCCATGGATAGGAAGAATTAACATTATTAAAATGTCCATATTACCCAAAGCAATCTATAGATTCAATGCAATTCCTATCAAAATACCAATAGTATATTTTAAAGAACTAGAACAAATAATCCAAAAATTTATATCAGATCACAAAGGACCCCAAATAGCCTCAGCAATCTTGAAAAAGAACAAAGTTGGAGAAATCATGCTACCTGGTATCAAAGTATACTACAAGGTCATAGTAATCAAAACAGCATAGTACTGACATAAAAACAGATACATAGATCATGGAACAGAATAGAGAACCCAGAAATAAAACCACACCCATATGGTCAATTCACATTTCACAAAGGACACGAGAATATACAAAAGGTTAAAAACAATCTATTCAATAAATGATATTGGGAAAATTGGACAGATACATGCAAAAAATGAAATTAGACCACCTTATACAAGAATAAACCAAAAATGGACTAAAGACTTAAATGCAGGACTCAAAACCATAAAATTCTTAGAGGAAAACACAGGCAGAAAATCTCGGACATTTCCCTTAGCAATATTTTTTTCTGATAGATCTCCTCAGTCAAGGGGAGCAAAAGGAGAAAATAAACAAATGGGACTACATCAAACTAAAAAGGTTTTGCACAGCAAAGGAAACTATCAACAAAATGAAAAGACAACCCACTGAATGGGAGAGCATATTATCCAATAATATATATAATAAGGGGTTAATATCCAAAATTTATAAAGAACTCATACATACTATTTAACACCAAAAAAACCCCTGAACAATCTGAATATTGGGACTTCCAGCCAAGATGGAGGTGTAGGTAGATACATTGTGCCTCCTTGCACAACCAAAAGGACAACAACAAATTTAAAAATAAAAAAAAACCAGAAGTCCAGAAAATTGATCTATATGGAAGTCTGACAACCAAGGAGGTAAAGAAGAAACATTCATCCAGACTGGTAGGAAGGGCAGAGACTAGCCACTGGGGCAGAGAGGACTGGCCACAAGATGGCAGCTGGTGCAGCAGGCAGTTCCACACTTGTGTGCAGATAAAGTAGGAGGAGCAATTGGGGAGCAAGACAGACTGCAACCCAGGGTTTCAGAGCAGGAAAATAAAGCCTCAAAACCTAGCACTGAAAAATCCTGTGGGGGTTGCAGCAGCAGAAGAAACTCCTATCCTCACAGGAGAGTTCTCTGGAGAAACCCACAGGGTCCTAGAATGTACGGAAACCCACCCACCCAGGAATTAGCACCAGAAGAGCCCAATGTGCTGGGGGATAGCAGAGGAAGTGACTGAAAGCTTGCCAACAGCCCAGCAAGCAGCACTGTTCTCTTTTGGACCCCTTCCCTACATACAGCACCACAACATAGTGATGTGGGTTACCCCACCTTTGTGAATGCCTAAGGCTTTGCCCCTTACTATGTAACAGACATGCTGAGACAAAAAAAAAGACAAAAAAAAAACCCAAAACAATGACCCAAATGAAAGAATAGATCAAAGCTCTAGAAAAAATACAACTAAGCAACAAAGAGATAGCCAGCCTATCAAATGTACAGGTCAAAACACTGGTAATCAGGATGCTCACAGAAATGGTTGAATATGGTTGCAAAATAAAGGACAAAGTGAAGGCTACAAAAAGTGAATTAAAGGAAAATGTACAGGGAACCAAAAGTGACAGGAAGGAAACTAGGACTCGAATCAA